TACGGTTAATTACGATCCTTTTTTTGTCATTATTCCCTATAGAATACTAGTAAAAAAAGCTGATATAAATTAAATAAGGATTTATCTTATTAAAGTATCAGATTAAAAAATAATAATTATGTAATGAAAAGGTAGGAAAGGTGGGTATTAATCTTATTTTATTCTGTAATAAATACCTCAATATAAATGGACATTGAGGCCTTAGGGATATGTAATATATCTCTTATATAAAGTTTTAGATAGTATATAATCAATAGGAATAGAGGGAAAGTGAAAAAAAGAAATTGAAATCCTAGTTCTTCTAAAGATTCCCTCCTGTCCCAAGCAAATAATTTTCACTACCCAATATCTCACCCCTGGAGAATCGACATCGTGATTGCTCATCAGAAACCCTTACTCAAGGCTCTTTTTTTCTTGACCGTCATCCAAGTCATTTCGTTTTCGTTGCCTCTATCCCCTTTTCCGCTTATTCATTTTTACACGTTTCATTCACGCACTTAATAGAAATAATTAAGCGAAACGTCAGTCAGTAACGAATTCATGCGCGTAGTTGGTCTGTTCTACTATGACGTTTTCGTTTGATGTATCGCTCATGTTTTGTTGTTTTTTTTCTCTTAGTTTCTATTTGTTTATTCTGTTTTCTTAGAGTTTTTAACCCTAAAGGACAGTTTATTTTTTGAAAAATTATCATATTTTCTTAATCAGATTCAGCTGGGGGGGATAGTCGGTATTCTAACAGTTTATCGTTTATTAGTGCTGGCTTAACCAGTATCAATAACGGACAAGATTAGCTAGTCTATACAACTGGGCTAAATCCCTCATGAAAAGCGTTGCTAGTATTTCGTCCGAAAAGCAATTAAATCGCCGCAACTGCGTCGATGATAAACGGCTGAGGGTAAACATGGCAAATGAATATGGCGTCGAATAACGGAAAAGTAAAGAAAAAACGGTCTGCTGCATAGATCAATTCAATTCATATAGATATCTCTATAAACAATTTTCATTCCATAATTAAACAATTCCTTTTTCTAAGTCGCGTCACGAGCGGACATCTAATCAAGCGCTTGTTTCGCATCTTGTCGATTGACAATACGTTAATTGCGATTTTAAGGGGCTGGAGGCTGTTTAGTTACGAATTTTTTTAAAACTAAATTGAATAAATAAGGATCTGTAGAAACGTTTGATTTTCTTTTCTGTTTATTTTCATAAGCAAAATGGAGAAAAAAAGCTAATTTTCTGAATAAATCCAGTGGATGGCTGTATAAAAATCGGCGCATAATTGTTACGGTTCGACATACTGCAAATATTGGAATGACAATCGATGCGCTTTGCTGTATAAAGAAGTATTTCCAGTGAAGATTGTCAGCGGAGACAAAAGATCAGACAACAAACTTATAAATCCTTAATATCTTATTGTTTATCAATAAGAGATGTATTTAAATAGAATCGTCCCTTTTTAAAAAAACGGATATCTCTCTATTCTTTTTTTTATTAAAATTGAACGTTATTCGTTTTCTCTTCTTTTCTTTTTTATTTACAACTTCCGGAAGCGTTCCTATTAACGTTTCGAACCTTAAAAACCACCTGTTCCGGACGTTGTCCATTTGTCAGTTTAATTACATACCATGTGTAAAAGTGTACAAAGTATATTTTCGGAAAAATCGAAGTATAGTATTGTATTTTTTTTAATGTTGCGTCATTAAAAAGCATTCTCTTTTCAAAATACTAACGTTCCTTCATTTAAATATTGAAATGTTCAATTTAAGAAATATCAGTGTTGTACACGTTTTGAATATTTGACAAGTCATAAACAGTTAAAATAAATATTAACTAAGAAAATTGCCTAATCTTAGCAAACCGATTAAATATATCAATGGTCAATATATCGAGATCGATATATGTACAAAAATACAACGTAAGATTTACACAAAGAGAATTGTAAATTAGATATATACATAAGAATACTTGAATAGAGGAATATATGTATATATAATATAAATGCATTATATATTCAGAGATTGTGGTGGATGATAACTATTTTATGACTACTTTTGGTATATCAAGTATTTAGGAAGGAAAAAAAAATTAGGCATAAACAAGTGGAAGCTCATCTCCCATAAACATTGTTTTATTACTTGAAATGGGTCTACTATTTGAACATTTTCCCAATTTGCCTCTTTTTTACTTTATACTCTAACCAACTTGTACATATTTCATAGTTATTCTATCCTATACCTTTTTTATGTCTTTATAAAAGATAAAATTGCGGATGGCTGAAGTTATCGGATTATAATTTTAAAAGAAAAAGACTGTCGAATTAATCAGGCATAGAAATAGACCTTTATCTAATAATTTTTAATTGAAGGATTGATCTAGTGCATTATCAAATAAAAATGCCCTATTCTCTTAACATAAAAGCTATGTCTTCTCTCATTCTATGCTTCTTAGTTAAATTTTTAGCTTTTTCCTTTTATGGATAAAGAAGGACAGTATATTTTATAAAATAAGGGAACGATTAGTAGGGCTTAAAATATGAAAAACTATTGATTTTCTTCCACCTCTAATTAAACGATTAAACACGAAACCTCTCGTCAATATTTCGTACTTTTTCTATAGGCCTTCTGGCCTACTTATAATAATCCGAAATATTCTATAACTAGAAATTCCCCTACTCATGAAAAAAAAAAGTTACCGTTCATAGTAAACTGGTAAATAATATTTATGAAATAATATTAATAATAAAAAAAATTAGCATAACTTACGTGAACAAGTGTGATCACCCGCATTCGAACAAGGTTTTGATTCGTAGGTTTCAAAAGGGCATCCTGCACTACATTCTGCCAAAAATATTAATATTTTAAATAACAGGAATTTTTTGTCCCCTTTTCCAGCTTGCATAACTCAATGTAACATTTTTACAGAATGTAAAATGTCATTTTTAACTTTTATTCCACAGTTTATATTCCACGCGGAATGCATATGTGAAAGCTAGTACATCGAGCTCTGTCTCATTCAATTGTGGACAATCAATGGCGATAGGTGGAGCTGAAGTCAACCTTCTTTGAATTCGTCTATTTTTTAACAACTTTTTCAATAAAAGCGCGAACTCTGCGGGAGTAAATTCTTTGTAGAGTCGCTATATAGTTAGAACTTTCCTCATTTTCCTTAATTAAACTTAGCAGATTTCTTGTTGAATTATTTACTGCAAAGTCACGACAGAAAATTGTACCAAGCCTTAACAATATATGAGAGGAGAGCGGATGGAAGAATAGGTATTAAATAGGTTTATATACAGCAAATACTAAATATAAATATAAATATAAATATATTTCTCAATACCTATTAACACTTTCCATCCCTTTTATCCACTCCTATTCTCTCTTTTCGAAAAGAGAGTAGCTGTATACGTGCAGTGAAAGGTATACTGCATACCTTTATTATATGATGCAGATATACAATATACTTATACACATATATGCATTGCATAAATCTATCAGAAAATGAAATGAAAAATAGGACAGTGAAGCGTGAGCGCTGTTTGCGCGGTAGCGTCGAATGCAAACTTTGCAAAGGCGTCGACTCTTGCCTAAGGTCATTCATTATCAAATCCGTCTGCTTTTACTCTTTCTTTTTTAAACAGTATAAATTCGCGATATTATATCTGCGAATTTTGATGATATTGTTCTTATTGATTACACATTTTGCTATGATAAGGATGTCATTTAGAGGCGTTACGTTATATTTTCTCGCGTTTTAATATCTTCATAAAAACAATATGCTTACGTTGGATATGGAAAAATAAAACGTTATATCTCTATTGACCACGGCGCTGAAAAAGGCATCTGTTTTCTGCCTTTTTCGTCTTTAAAGTCTTTGGTTCTCTAAGTAAGCGGCAAAGTAGCGTACCTTATCAGTCATTCCTCGAAAAGCTATCACGTGATCAACAAAGTAAAAGCAGATTAGACGCTTTTCGTCGTTTTAATACAGAGTATATACGAAACAGTGTCAGCGGCCTTAACGACAAACCTTATCCCATGAGACGATATTAAGCACTTGTCACAGAAGAGACGCCGCTAAAATTGGCGGGGCTTGTACAACAAATACAAACCATCAGAAAAACCAGTTCTAAAGTATACAAATGAATTTTCTAAATGGGCGTAAATATAAATATATAAATAAACAAACTTGGCTTACATAAACGCAAGCGCATATTACACTACCATCGAATACGGCTAATATAGGCCTAGGAAAAGCCAACTGAAAATTTTCTCACTAGGCAGTTGGGAAATCAAGCAACGGCCGAACGCCGGCTCTCTAATAATATTTACGGCCCAACGTATATTAGGTTTATCGTTAATGAACAGGCAGTTAATCGCTGGGCATACGGTTTTAAGCTATTTTAGGAGCCTTTCTTCGTTTTGTACAACTGGTTATGGGGTTACTTTAAAAGACAAATCATGTTTAGTACGAAAACTAAAACCTTATCAACCGATAAAACGTCGATATAGTCATGAAATAAAAAGTTTCTAATAGAGAATAGAATACTCGGCGCGCATCGACTCGCGACTAATCTGATTACAAAACGCTCTTTCTTCAAACACTCCCCAACAAGATGGCCTGTTTAAGGTGAAGCACTTTTCCTGCCTTCCTTTGCAAACAATCTGATTTAGCATTCAACACCGTCCACTATTTATGCTCTACATAGCCCTCTGGCTACATGGCTAGATAGAATTTAGTCGAAATCTATCCAATATCTCTAGTGAATTTTCAGACGTCGCTTATTGGAAATGAAAATAATTTTGTTATGCAAGCCGAACAGGGGGCAAAGAAATAACTACGTATTCACGCCCAATTGTCAATGAAATCGGGCTGGAAATCATTATTATTATTATGTTCCGGTTCAATGTTTTCCTTCCCAGCGGTACTTTGAACCCATATTAATAAGCGGAAAAGGAAATTGAACGGTTTCTTTCTAGGAAGATTTTTATGAATTTTTTTTACTACTTACTTTTACACTCTACACCTTCCTGGTAATAGCCAAGACCACATTCACATATGTGCCCTCCCTTTGTATTCCTGCAAGCCCTCTCAGCAGGACAGGCCAGTTCGTCATTCTTACATTCATCGAAGTCTGCAAAAAAAAAAAAACCGTTTTGTTTGCATACCGTGATGGAGAAAAAAAATGCCGTTTTGTAGGCCTATGTGAACCGTCTATCTCGTTTTCGCGTCGTTGGTGATAATGATGCTTACCGAAACAACTGTGACCGTTGAATTTGTATCCACGAGAACAGACGCATTGCTGGGTTGCTGAATCGCAAGTAGCCAAGTCTTGATGATGGGCATATTTACATTTCTCGAATACATCTAAGGGCGAACACGGCTTGCTATCAGTATATAATACGTCATCCAAATCTGTTCAGTTGTAAATATAGAGAGTTGATAAGTTAGAGGGACATAAAAGCGTTTTAATAGGTGAAGAGTATATTTCTAGGGGTTCTTCTAGCATAAAATCGACTTACTCAAGAGTCGGAATTCAACGATTAGAAACAAAATACCAGATTTAAAAAACAATATTATCAAAGCCTGGTAGTACATTTTCATTATGTCGTTTTAAGACAGCGCCATTAATATTAAGAGGAAAAGGCGTGAGAGAAGCGTAGTTTTGCATTTGGACGGGTCATAGGTTATATTGTATTTGGTTACGCGATTGATTGGTCTTGGCAGTTACTCTATATCGAACGATTTCTTGACTGATCTGTTAGTTGGTTTCTATATGAGTCTAGCATATATTTTATTATATATATATTTAGACGCCTTCGGGCTTTTGGTGTATAAGAACTCATCCTTTTCAGCCTCTTCCTTCCTTTGCTTTTCATTTTCTCATAATAAGTAGCTATTTATGTGGCCTTCTACATTCTGTTCCTTTTAGCTCTTAGTAACTTTAACTTATTTATTTTTACTTATCTTTAAGAATATGAAATACTTAGCCGTCTCATTGGTTCAACTTGAAATAATTTCTAAGGAAATTGTAAAAAATACCCTTTCTTTACCAATCCCTTTGCCCTTCCCCATCTCCCTTGGATCGTTTTCATTTTACTCCTCCCACCGCCCTCTCTAACAATCAGGAGGCTTTGACGATAAAAGTTGTCAAAAATCGACGATTTATTGCACCCCATATTGGCACCTACTTCAAACGTACCGTAAGTTATTATTTTCGTCTTGTTGGCCGGTCTAACCCAAAGTGATCGGTGAGTTGTTACTTTATTGTGATTATCCCTCTTGAAAAAAAGACGAACAGCACCTGTGAAATGAATAAAAATGAAGTAGAAATTCTCATTTTTATTGTTATTATTCGTCTTATGTTCTTCTTCAACAGTATTAAACTATTTACAAAGTAATACAATCATAAATTATTAATATTGCAGGTGTTATTAAGTTTTCTTCTCCATCCATCGCCATTCTGATGGATAATAGAATGGAGAAGAAAGAAAGAATCTCTATACGGAGTATCGATTTAAGCCGAAAACAAAAACAGCGTCAATAAATAGAGTACTCAAAAATAAGATAATACTTAAAAGTTGCTAAGAATTGTGTCTTAGCACTCTTCTCGATTAAACATTATTCCTAATGAAAGAGAGAAGGTTAATAATACCATAGAATATGACTTTTTATATATTTTTGACGTAAAAACGGGACTCGTTGTTATCTGATATGCATTTTAAAGGTGCATATATATAATAAGGGACGTAAAAAAAAAAATTACGAGGAAAATATAACTCATTGCCACACCTATCGACTTACCAATTTCGAACTCTTTCGGTACTCTAACTGTAATTAAAGCGTGAGGTTCTAGGCTACAAGTAGCTGCGTAAGTGAGCGTTGAAATTGATACTATAGCCAAAACAGACACTGCTAAGACTGTAGTTCTTGAAAGACTTCCGCTACCGCCTCCTCTTCTTGTCAACGTATTGTGAATTGGCGGAACCTTAGGGAAATATATGAAAAATTAAGCTTTTTAGTGCTTTGAATAAACTCTTACTTCTCCATAAGTTGGATCCGGTATACGGTTTGGTGGTGGAGGTGGTCTGAGGGTTGACGCGACCAAAGATTCCCCATTTTCGCGAAGTTTCTTCTAGAAAAAGGAAACATTAACGCCATCTATATCATTTGTGAATTGTGAAAAAAATTAATGGTTTTTGGCGAATATTATTTGTAACTCAATCTCTTTAGCAATTGATAGAAAGTCAGACTAAAAATCGGATTGATGATTTTCATTAAGGGAAATATTATAAACGCATCGCTAGAGCTGACTATAAGAGTTTTAGGAAAGAAAAAAGGCTATAATTGTCTAAGTTATTTTCTAAACGGATTACTTTTAGGCTTTAGAAAAGGAAATTACCAGTATAAGGAAGGGGGGGGGGGGGGGGCAAGGAAGAGTATTTTAAAAGTTTAAATTTACATGCTTACTTAGATCTTATGAAGATATCTACTTTTGGATAATGACTTTTTATTACATAATAAAGTAGCAGCACTCTTAGAACTTTGAATGTCATCCTACTTCATTTCTCCAAGGCTCGAAAAAAAATTTACAATATATTAACGTTCTGAATGAAGATGGCGACACCAGTTTTGTCACAGTCAATCATCAATCATCAACGCCCCGAAAAAAACAACCGGAATTGATAAATCGAGTCCGTCGCAACGGGAGACGACGAGCGTGCATTGTTTTGCTTGACACGGTCTGATGGTGAATGATTGATTATTACCGAGCTGAATTCTGACAGTTTCCTGTCCATTTTCTCCTACATTACGTCTACTGAAACAGTAACGACGGTCCTAAATAGCCTATTAATGTTCTTAAGCTAGCGACTGTTTGGTGAAACTGAATGTATAAGATTTCCTGCGGAGGAGGAGAAATTCATCGACTAAACAAACCTTTTGCGAGTATTCGCACTGTCGTAATGAGGCTCTTTCTCCAATATTGCCTGGAAAAAATGAAAGAAAGTCAAATATAAAGAAGAATATTTCATATCAGTTCCGCCATCTATCGCCTTTTCTCTTGTGCTATTTGACATGTACAAATGAACTAATACTTACTGGACAAGAATTTTCGACGCCTTCGGTTGTACTTGAGAACTAGCAGTGCACAGAAGATGAGTACTATTACGACCGCAACAGAGATGCCGATGGCGATCGTTAAAACGTTCCTGCCGGCCCCACCAACAAACTGCAATTAATTGTAGAAAGAGTTATAGAGTGAAACTGCCAAAATAATGAATTTATCTTCTTTTTTCATTTATGTTATAAAAGTTAGATGAACGATTTGTGGAGAGCAAATGAAAGAGAGTAAAAAATCTAGGTCTTAGAACTGGCGACGCGAAAGGAAGCCTTTTCCGTAAGCCCGCGTAATAAATCACTCTCGGTCGAAAAAAAAGCGGCTAGAAGATAAGAAAGAGGGTACCGGATTAGCATAAATAATAACAAAACAGTTGCGGCGTTACTCCATTAGGATAGCTATGTCGTCCATAGTGTAACGTCAAAAGTGGTAAAATTACACTCAACACGCGTGTAATTTTTTTCTATGATCTCAGATTGGTAATTTTTCATTATCTTTCATGGTGGGAGAACTACTTCAGTTTTGCACTCTGCTTGTTTTCCCTTTCTATTCTATCCCTCTTGTTTCACTCTCTTATCTCTACCAAAAAATCATGCTCACTGACTGAACACTAATTTCTAAATATAGAATTAAAAAAAAAGAAGAGAGAAACCTAATTAAAAACTATTATACTCCTTAAAGAGGTATATTTTATAATTAAGCTCTTTTTCTACATCACCTGAATACAAAGAAATACATAGAGTATGGAAGCATAGAAGTGAGCAAATAAGTTTATATACATGTGCCTTTAAAAAGTCTATACAAATGGGACCGTTTATTCTCATTTTTAATTAATATTTTATTTGATATGTCTCGATTAGATACGGATACGCGCTAAAAGTCAGGAACAGTGCAGTAAATTTACACCCAAGACTGCGGTAGTCGGCTTTTAAGAAATATTGAAAAAGTGTTATATTATATTTTATATTGCTTTATTAGGTTATATTAGCATTAACTGACACAAAGAAAGGAAATTTCCGTACATAAGAAGCCTTTAACCTGAAGATAGTGACAAAGACAGTGCTACAGTAATAAGAAGAATGTGTGTGAGAGAGGGAGAGACTTGTGTCTGCCAAGAGGGACAAGAAGAAAAACTCAGAGTTTTCAGTAAATTATTCATTAAACAATGATACGCTAATAAGCGATGGTTTTGTAAACCCAATTGGGGAGAAAAGAAAGACAAATACGCATGGAAATATTTATGAGAAATAGTTCTAAAACTGGAATATAGATAGAGAGAGCCCTCTTGTATAATATACTTTGTCTTGTCTTTCCTTGTACAATATCGGTGGGAAATCGATCGATCTCAGCTTTGATAAATAGTGGAAACTATTTAAAAAAAGAGAAAGAGAAAGGGCTTTCTCTCTTTATGGCTCTTATCTCTTTTATTATTATTCTTTTTTTTTCTTTTTCCATCATTGACAATTGATGTTTTATAAGATGATACACAGTCTAAAAACGGATTTCATTAGACGCAGCAAAGAATTGAAAGTTAAAAAATACTTCAGTATCTAAAATTAGAATAAAAAGAAACTGGTAAACTATTTCAAATGCTCTTTTCAATTACTTTTCCAATAAGTCAGTGGTTTGGAAATTCGACGCTTTTTGATGTAAATTTAACATCAACAACGATAGAAAAGAACTGCTCGCGAAATTATTCAATAGGGAGAGAAGGAACAATAAAACTATCGACTTGTCAATATATTGTAATTATATATTACATGTATATATACTGTATATTGTACATATTGTAATACACACAAGCATGTTGATAGTAGAGTAAGCTACATAAATATATGTGTATTGATGGTTTATGAGTGAATGGATGGAGTAAGGAGAACAAAAATAATGATAATTAACAAGAAAACATTGTAAATATTGAATAAAGTTGTCTTATCGCAGAATAATTAACTATTTTTTTAGAATTATTAAATTGTCTGGTGAATCTAAGCCGTTGCGACAACCTTATAAAAATTTCAAAGCTCAATGGTTTTTATAGAGAGAAAAAAGGAAAAAGTTCGTTTGTAAGTGACCCGCAGGTGCGATATAAGGGCTTTGCAGATCGCATATGCATTAATCAAACCTCGTTTAAAAAAGATAGCCCCAACTATGCAAGTATCGAACGTCTCGCACGCAATGTTTATATTTGTATGAGAGACGTCGCCAGTCGCTCTTTTACATAATGCAACGGCAAACATAGTTAATCGCAAAGCTGGATTTAATAAAAGCCTAAAAAATTTCACTTATCGTCCATTGGATAACCTTTAAAAAATTTGACACGCTTGTCTAAGAAAGGGCGAAGGGTAGTAGAAGAAGTTAGCAGATTTTCTTTCATCAGGCTCCTTTTATTTGACTACATAAATGCGCACGTTGCACATGCAGTGTTTATTACATATTGCATTCTATGAAGATAATCAATGGCTTTTTTTAGCTCATGTAGCTAGTTTGCTAGATTACATTTTGTACATGTTAAAAACACGTAGAATAGCGTCTGGTTCTCGTTATTATTATTGTTATTATTATTATTTTCGCCATTATTATTATTGTTGTGTTGATAGAGTTTTTATACAGTTGAAAAGAAGAAGAAATGAATTCCGTCTAGGAATTTCCACTCACAATACTCCCTAATGCGGAAGAGAAATTGCGGTATAGTCATTGGGTTTTATTGACCATCTGCAAAGGTTTACTCTATGAAAGTGGTTTTAGAATCTGGTCACCCAATTTAATTTAAATTACACACAAATCAGTAAGATCTTTAGATTCTCCTTTATCAGGTGTTTATTTACATTTTTCTCATTATTAAAGTTCCACTAATTATTGAGAAATTCTTTTATTAATTCGACCGTATAATTTCACGAAAATAATTACACACAGGCATTTAATTTTATGTACTTGAGCCAAAAAAATTTCCCTTTCCCTTTTTATTTCCTAGGCCTATTATGCAAGGATAAATACACTACTTGATAAACATACACAGTTGTACTTTAAAAAAATATATTTTACAGATTCTACCTTGACACTTTTTCAAGTAGCGTCTGTGAAGGATAAAGTTACTGGAAAGAGTAACACTATTTCCTAAAGAGACATGGATATAAGCTCGTAAGAAAAAAATTCTGACCCTAATCGAACAAGACGACATACAAATTCGGTATTAGAGATAAGATGCTTGCGACCTAGTTTTCTCAAATACCCTTCGAAGAAAGAATTTTTTGCAGTCGGCACCACCTGCGACAATCTACTGGAAAAAATCCGATACGACTTTTCTTTTATACATTATACAATATACGGGTAACATCGATTTTTCCCCTCCTCCCTACAAATGTATATCTACATTAGCACTTCCTTTCAACTAGATTAATCCGAAAATAAAACAAGAGTATGTTTATAGAGTTTAGAGACAAACTCGGTTACAAGAATTCAAAGGGAGCAATATAATAAATAAAGTGGATTAGTGTAAAAAAAACCAGAGGTTAGTACAGTCAGCTTTTATTGACAGCTGGCCATAGTTTTTTTGAAAACAATCTTTCTCCCACCTAGACCGAAAAAGAAAAAAATCTCTAACTGCCGCCCCCCCCCTGCTCGCTTTCTCTTCTGAAATATAACGATTTACTATGTAAACGTAACCGCAAAAGCGATACGTGACTTTAATCGTAAAGTTTGCAGTCATGCGGAGTCACTTGTCGACTGGAATTTAACGAAGCCCGACTTTTTGATGATATTCTTTTTCTCTTTTGCTATCCAAATGTATACGAAAAGGAAAAAATGTCAACTGGCATCAATTTCTTTGTGAAATTCATGTAATTTTATATCGATTTAATCGATTTAGTTCTTTAGGGGATATATTTTTTCTTAACCTAATTTTTCTTACATTTCGATGTTTAACTTCTAATTATCTTGTACACGGAATATCTCAATTAACAATGAAGAAAAATGGGTGCACAACACACATATATACAAATATATATAAATATATATATTGTATATACATGTAGAAAAAGAGAAAGGATAGAAAACAAAATTGTTCCCAAATGATTTTTAAATTTGTTGACCTTTTTGCTATTATTATTTGTTTTATTTGCACATCTGTAAGCATATTTTATTTTATCAAATTCGTATTCAAAGTCATATATATATAAGACTTAGTCATTAAATATTACCTCGAATGAATACTTGATTATATGATAAACGTATTTATAAACTGTTTATATTAATGTAAGCTAACCAAAAAGAGTTAAACCTATTGTTCTTTTTTTTCAATAAAAGCTGTCTGCATAAATGTGTTGATAAGTTTAACGAAAAGTTAATTAGTTTTAATTAACAATTATCTAATTTTAACGATAATTCAAGTGTAAATGAGTTGAAAAAAAAGAGAAAGGAATTTAATAAATGTAAACTTTTGTATTCGTAAAGAGTTACACTTTTATTACCGAAGTAAGCAGATGTTTTATATAAAAATTATATACACTATTTATAATTTGGTGAGAGTAGTCGATTTATGTAATAAATTACGAATAATAAAAGGAAGAGAAAATGGTTTCAATAACAATATTTCCCAGGATTATGCATCCAAAACCGATTAATTAATGATTCTTTCAGGATAACAAGTACGAGATTTTCGCTTCAATAATCCAAAGTAGCGTTAAATATTTTATAATATTACTATAGATTTACTTATTAGTAAATGAAAATTGAAAATGTCTACACTACGTCACCTATCATTCCATCGATTAGTTTTTGTTTTTTTTGTTTTGTTCTTGTAACGTGTATAGAAAAAAGGAATAACAATGAAAAAAACGTGTCAGTTTTTTAACAAAGACAACGCTATTTTTATGGCTATATAATAGCCATAACGATAATTAAATACATTAATAAAATGTTTCTCTTTTCACTTAACAGTGAAAAAACAAAGTGCAAACTCTTGCAATGACAGAACTTTTAGGTATAAGTCGGTTTCAGGATTAGACTTAACTTTATCTGACGGTCGCGTTCTTGAAAAAAGCTAAATGACCATAGGAAGATTAAGGACTCAATCCTTAGAGCGAAAAATATATAAATTTAAAAGATGGCAAAAATCCTACATGATTGAAAAATTCCAGTCATTTTTTATGAGTTTACAAAGATACTACGATCATAAATGCATAAAAAGAAATCTCTGACTTACGATTTGAGCTACGATGATTGTCCCATTATGAGGTCCTCTGCCAGTTTCCCATTCTTTGAATTTTGTTTCAATTCTCTGTAATTCGTCCTCATCTGGAGCGAGAGGTAAGACCGTTACTTCAAAAGGAGTTTTTACGGTAGGGTCACTACTCTGTGGAATCTCCTTTACTTCTACGAACGCCTGTAAATGAATAACAAAAAAATAGTATACAGGGAATAGGCTCTTAGGAATCTAATTTGGCATGCGATACGTTCGTCAACTAGCTAACTTATTCCTCGGACAATACGATTAAACAAAGGTCTAGTATTATCTTTATTCAGACGACGAGGCGCTAATGAGTGAGCGTACAGTGTTTCATTTATATGCTTATCATTTTGCAAAAAATTACATCTCAAATATCCACTACAGCTCCTTTTTGGCTGGTAGTGCTTTTACTACCCGCTGTGAGCTTAATTAACAAATAAACAAATCACCGAATTAGTCGGTCACCTTTAACGGGTGCTATATTTCTTGAAAGGTCGTGCAAAGCGACTTGACTAATTATCTCTTATTTCTCCCGGCCAGTCCTCCATTTGAAATACTTTATTAATAATCAGAATAAACAATCCTTATTAGCAGACACATAGAAAAAAAAAATTGTTACCCAAAGCTGAGAAAATTATAAAAGCGTCACTATTTTTAAAAAATTCTATCGCACACGAATATGCATCTGTGCAGTAGAACTGCAAAATGCGAACATGGAATCATTAGTTTAATTTAACGTCACGCGAACCTCCAATACGAAAATACAGGACGAGAAAAAGCGCTAATGTAGAAAACAAGTGGAGCATATTGAAAGCTTGACTTTATGGTAACCAAACTTCCCATCTCTGCTTTATCAAGCGTTCAATGATGCCAACGTATCCAGTTGTATTTACTCAAAAATGCGTAGTTCCTGCCACTTTTTCGAAAATGGATATAAAAAGCAACGTTTCACCGTTAACACTTATAAATATATATATAATTTTATATATATATATATATATATATATATATATTGTCACTCTCCCGGGCTCTCTTGCCCAGTCTTTACTTCCATTTTTCATTTCCATCTGTCAGATGGCGTTCGGAAGGTAAGTGGGGACTAGAAGTAACGAAGAATTGATAGATAATGTTAAAAGGATCGACCCAACTTTCTATATTTGCCAGCGGTTACGCATGCGCCTCAAGTCTTACGCGATCCTGTTTTATTGCTAGGCGTCTAATCTCATACTAGCTTTTTCGCGATTGGGCTAGATGAGCCAAATCCGACAGGATTGCAAACTACTTCGAAGGATCAACGCTGTTGCAGCCTTAGTAATATTCTCTCTCAGACCCGTTTAGCCGTTTGGTGTGCATTTTTTATGAATGTTCGCCCTCAAACCTCGTAAAATGGGAATAACACGAATCAAAATGTATGCTTTGGAGACCACACGCACAAAATTTACGATATTGCCGTCCCTATCCCCTTCCTCACATTATTTTATTCTGAAAACCGATTTATGACCCACAGGCCGTCAGACAGATATAGTAACGTCGCTCATCACAATATATATAAACGTTCAACGCTTCGACAAGAACTATATATATAGAAAAGACAGGCGATACTATGATTAAACTATATACTGGTATAAAAAGACCGATAGCAGTTTACAATCGAATTTAGAATCAAATAGGTTTTTATATTACTGATTTCTTTCCTTTTACTTTTTCTTGGGAATTCACACTTATTAGATATACATGTAAATTCAATAAAAATTATACAGGTACGTGGTATGATAGTATAAAAGCATAGTAATACGATATATCTACTGCTAAAACGTTCAAGTAACGGTCAGACAACAAAACATAAATAAATATTGAAATGTCAATGTTATAGTGCTTTATAAATCAAGTTGACGTCGAGAGGTCGAGCATGTTCTAATCCCGTTTCGTACGCATTTTAGAAACATTTATCCAAAGCAGTAGCTTTACGTTTAGGATCAACATTATTAGCGCGTATTAGAGGTGCAAAGAAGAATATAAAATAAGAGAACAAAGATTAGGACCCGTATTTACTGTTTAATATATGTGGAACCATTTTTAAATATTTCTAATATAAACATACATCTGTATAACACAAACTATTGCTAAAATGAGACTACGAAAACTGCTTTTATTGATTCATATATTGGATTTTCACATTTCAGATTTTAACCAATCGTTAGTTAACGTTCCACGTTTATTTTTCATCAACACGTCTCATTCAAGCCTATTGAACCGACAAAAGATCTCTATTTATAAAAACCTGCGGGAATGTTGTTCAATCTTATAAAAAAGAAATATCTATCCTATACTAATTGCTCAATGATAGCTTTAACTATAGAAAGATACGTTATTATTACTGTCGTATATATTCGACTCGTATATTTTGTATCCGCAGCTTCCTAAAAGGCTTTAAAACATCTACAATCTCTTCTTCCGGTTCATACTACGCCAACGTATCTTATGAGGTAAAACGGCCGGAATTAGATTGTTACTAACTTATAATGGAGAATTGGTTCTACCTAAGAGACAGAGGGTAATAGAGTAAAAAGATGACGGAGGGGTGGAGGGAGGGAGAACTAATTGAATGAAACGTATATCATTAAACAGGTATATAAGATGGAAGGAAAAGTCAAAGAAAAAAAAGCAACAACAAAGTGTTGAAACGACATGATTGTTTACAAATCTCTTTTTAAGCCTATTAATTTTAATTCCTTCGCTGTGAAAAGTCAAGAATATCGACCATTGGTGTAATTATGGACAAGCTGAAGACTTATTTGTTTACTTAAGCCTACACGGGCGATTGAAAAATTTTCTTGCATAATAATAAGTTGTTTACATTCGGAACGGCCGATTCAGTTTATATGCTGCATTTCACAACATAGTAATAAGATAAAACATTCACGGTTAAATCGAACTATTTTTAAAAAATAGACCTTTTTGTTTTAGAAGATTAGTAAAGCATTCTTAATGAAGAATCAAGCATAAGAGGAAGTGAGCGTATTATAGGCCTTCTATATATATATACTTTCATAAACGACGTCTAATGTGACTTACCTTTATGTTACACCTTATGTGTACTTCTTGAATAGTTTTGGCTTTGGATTTATAAGAGATTTTTTTCGCTATTCGTAAGTTTTCGCACAATTTTGAGGACGTTTCTTGTAGAATAACGTTTAATATAAAAAAGGTATAAAATCCACAAATGACTTTCATCTCTTTCCTTTAAGGCACGGCAGTCATTTCCATTTGTGTTTATATGTCTAAAATCATCATTTATATCCGACTTTATTTAAATTTTTTGGGATAAGCGCCGTAAAATCATTCTTTCGTGTCGTATTCGATATAAGAATGCAACTGAATGCTGATTGGTTCTGCTCTTACCTTTATCATACTCACTCCTTAGGGATAAGTCCATAAAATATTATTAATTTTAAACGATATCTAATAAAATCATTAAAAGCTTATTTCTTTTGTAATTTTATTTACTTGTTATAAATGAATGAATATTGAAATTACGAGTATTCTACTTAATTTTCTCTAATGTATAGTAGTAGTAACAAAAAGTGGGGGTATATCTACAAACTGGAATACTCGTTTGGCGGAATCTTAGCAGACGCCGAAACAGGGCCATAATATACATTTTCGTGTGTAATTTCTTAAATTTCTTGCATCCCAAAGGAATTCTCCGTCTATAAACGATTTCGTCATCCACATAATACTCGTCTGTGCTGATCAAGATCAACTCCTCTAACAAACATGCCCTAAAAGACGAACGATAAACGTAAGTTTGTAGCCCGCGCTTTTTCTTCTATATTCTCATACACTCATTTCAACTATTCTCGTCGTCAGATGGAAAACTCAGTTGTTCTTCTCCTACTTTCATTGATTCATTTGTCACATGGTGTCTCGGAGTTTGTAGTCTTTGATAGTCTACCAAAGGATTTGCTTAGGCCTTCAGCTAAGTTTATTGTACGGAGTTCTTTTAAGGTAAGCGATATTCTCTTAAGAAAAAATAATGGAAACAGCTTTTCAATGCCCCTCTACCCCAGTAGGCCTATTTACGCGAAAAATTATTGATCAATAATCATTTAGGACTCCAACCCTTTATTGATCAACAAAAAAATATTTAAGTCACAATTGCTGTTTGATTTTTTTCTGATTGATAGCCACCCATATCACGTTTATTATTCGAATATACCAGTATTAAGATAATCCGTTTGCAATATTTTTTCACCTGTTAGTTTGTTTTGCGCTTTCACTCATCCGCCTATAAACACGTATACCCATGATCCCTTCCTATTTGGAAACACAGATGAAATTATCTTAGATACAAAAGTATTTGTGGCGTCCCCTGACGTTTTGCTCGACAATAAGCAACACGTGGCCTATGTAGTTGCCTAATTGACTGTTGCAGCTGTCGCCGGCATGTGTTACTAGTTAATAACTAATTTTGAATTGTTAGAGGGCGCTAGAAATAATGAGGAGCGGAATATGAGAAGAGGTTTGACAGATTTAAACAAAGCTCGAAAGAAAATGTTTGTTTTTCAAAGAATAAAAACGGTTTCGCGTAATTTGCAGCGAACGTGAGATCTTCTGTTTATTCTAAACCATAAATTATGCTTTTGTGTAACGTCGTTTGCACTCTGAAACGTGATTTCTTCGAGTGATTGCTGTATTAAGTTTTATAAAAAACATAAAAGATGTTTTTATTAAATTCCCTGAGAACAGCAGGAATCTTTCTCCCCTTTTTCACCCGCCGTCTCCATCTTAAAGCTGAATTCCGTATTTTTATGGGTTCTATCGTATGATTTCACGTAATTGAAGCCCCTAAAATAGCATGATGAATAATTGAGCTGCATAAAAAATATAAAAGCTACTGCTACTATATAAAAAAGGAACCGACCTGAATCTTTCCTAGGGATAGCTTTTCATCACGCATTGAAACGTTTTACTAATTCCTTTAGAGTACTCACTATAAATTTATATTGAAATGATCTGACTTTTCTCCATATATACACTGAAGATTCACTTATTTACCTATTCAGTTAATTTGAACAGGTGAATAAAAGAAGAGCGGGAAGAGTTTCAAATATATCCAAAGCGATTTTTGGCTTCCCTGTTATTTTTTTAGATTACGTACTATTTACACTGGTTTCAGGGCGTCGTTTCGATTGTGTGCTTTGTAGGGGTTATAACATTGAAGTTTTGTTAGTTTTTTCTAGCCAATATTCACTCTAGAATTTCTCCAAAAGTTCGAGTCAAGTTCATACAAAAACAAACAAACGAAGCTGTTCTAAATTTTATTGACAGTATACAGTCGCGTTCAAGCGTTATTGTTTGAACAAATTCTCGCGAAAGGTGGCGAATCTTGGGCGTTGTTAATTACTCGTCAATGTTTTGACAAGAATTCCGCTTCAACTTGAACACCTTTTAAGAAAAGGCTTTGACATAGTCGTTTGCCACTTTGTATGTTGATTTTTCCTATTGTATTTACATTTTCGGTATTTTTCTGTTCTCTTTCTTACGTTTATTTTATGGGCTATAACATGGCTTTGCCAAGTAAAATACCGAAAACCACCGAACTCTTTTACCTATTTCGCCTGTAAGTAATTAAGGTGAATCGTAAAAAAGTAAGCTAGTTCTGTAAACAAATCGTTTCTTAGGCATTTTGCAATCAGCTTGTCTAAACAGTTGCTCTGACAAACTGACCTTCCTCTATCTCCACCCCCAAAACCTGGTACGCAATACTTTATCAATAAGCTCATAAAATGTGAAAGAAAATGAAATAAGTGACGCTAAGGATTGAATGCCGTCATCTATTTTTTACATCTTAGTGTATGACACAGAATGTAATTAGCTAATTGCTGATTGATTATACGCAGTTATCCAGTCAAACAAGTAAATTACATTAAGCCAGCGACAATGTTTCATTTTTTAAATTATTAACGCTTCGCTAAACTCTTTGTCGACCCTTTATAGGCGAAACGCAATTTTCCCTTTTTTGGGGGCGTTCTCTTTCACCATCCCTTCCACCCCTTCCAAAACCTCTCTCAAACGCGCTAGACCGACACTTCCTAACGAAGAATAATGATTTTTCATATGGGACTAAAATGTATTGACCGATACGATTAACGGCTTCTAAACTTCTTCGCAACCAAGGATTTTTTCCATCAACCATATTTTTTATCCTTCTAATTCTTAGGATGAACGATTTTCGAATATATTGCAGTAAAACGTGTTCGCCTTCTTGATACGTCTAATAAATCTCTTGGGGATGATGATCCCCACAATGCAACGCACTCGTTAGTATATCCTGGTGGCGCCTCGTAAAACATCATCTACAGCTACTTAAACATTTTAAGTAACAATAAACTTTGGTCTGCTCTCCAGCCGACTAAGAACTTTAACGAGAATCCTAAAAACTTTTAAACTCTAATACTTCTTATATTTAGCACTTTTTCCCATCAGCCACTTCTAAGTTTGAGAGACATATGAAAGGGTTTTTGGTATGACATGAAAGTAAATGACCGGCCACGTAGGACTGTTGTTTTTGCAAAGACAGTCTAGTCATTTTGGCGTTTGTTCTTGTTTTTACAATAACCTCCCAGGCGTGTGCCGATTGTTTATTCTTTCCCGTTTAATATATATCACCTTGTCCGTTTTCCAAATACCGTCTTTCTCTTTTTTCATTCTATTGACTAGCAAGACACACAGATGTAGCGTACAGGAGAAACGCCTTTAGGTAGAGAATGTGACACCACCGTTGACATTTTACACCCATTTTACCGCCTTTGTATTCGTTTCGCTTTTTTCTCTACCTACCGTTTGTCCCAATTGACAGAAAAACCGGAGTCTGCTGTTTGAAAAAATATGTACGTTGTATATAAGCTGCCGGATTCTTTGACGGTGGATTGAAAGCCGACAAACACGACTATTGGCCAATTAAGGCATCCATGCTCAACGAGTATGCGTGTATTAGCGGTAGTCAATGGTAATAAAGACATGGATATAAACTCTTCTTGTCTATTGAAACTATTTGACGCCTTTTCCTTCGTGGTCAATAGCGGTCTAGGGCATTTAATAAAGAAATTTCTTTTATAATATAGTACCTATAAAATGTCTTTGGACTACTAGTAAAATTTCTTAAAAGCTTTTTTCAGTGTTTCTCAATCAATAAGGAAGGTTGGCGTTTCGGACGCTTAATGATAATTAGTGTGTATATTGTATCCACGACGAACCGTTGCAGCTGTTTGTAGATTGTACAAACAGCAAAAATTGGACGAGTAGCTGAGGGGCGTCTAGAAATGGATATTTTATTTGCGTAAAGCTTCACGGCCAGCTTCACTTTATTAATAGAAACATCTTTTTCTTTTGCTTATTCCCTACTCATTTTTACTCTTCCATGCACATTTTTTTCGCCGGCTTTATCGTGAAGAAAACAGCCAGTAATGAAAGACCCAAAATAAGCAACTACTCTTTAAACATAATTACTCTTACTTTATTCTTATTTGCGTCTTGAACGTTTATATAGACCTATTAAAACTCGTATTCTCGACCACCTACACTGTTCTTTCTCTATATTTTCCATTTTAAGCCCTTCATCGCCATCCCCCCCACAAATCTTACATACCACCTTCTTTATATGCACCCTTTCTATAGCGTCATATTTTCAAGTCTGTGTAATGATTGGAGGGAGGCTACTCACTCTTGTTTATAATTGTACGTCGCTTCCTTATAATTGGCGGCCATAGCGTCTGTCATGGACCGGACGCTGGTCATCCACCGAAATTTTCCTTAATTATTTACCAGTGTGCAGGTGTAGTATAAAAACTGATTAGCTATATTTACTCTTTTCTTTTTGTGTCTTTTGTTCCGGATTATTAATGTCTGTCCGTATTATTTGGGATGAATAGAATGGGGAATCTAAAGAAACATTCTACTATGTAAACCAAGCACAATATATTGTATAAATGCGGTAAATTGCAAAATAAAATGTATACATGAATTCACACAGGTAAATGCTGCAATTTTTTGTTTATACATCTAGATTGAAAATAACATACAATATTTGGACAGTTGAGCTTTACCTGGTTATATCAACGGGAGATTTGGCGTTAGACGCCGCTCCTCTAGGCTTTTCAGCTATCGATCGCAATGCGACGACTTTAGGAGCGGATCTGAAACGGTTCTGCGAAAATTGCCCATTTTCCCCCTCTTTTTCGCTAAATCGGATTCGTTCAGCGTCCGAGTCTGCATTGGCAATTTAGGCCTTTGTTAGTCGTATTCGTTTTCTGACCGTATATATTTATGGGAAAGGAGTCTAGCGAATTATTTATCGAGCTATTACTAGATGTTTTAGGGATGATATATTGGTGTATTTTTACGCTCAATTATTTATACGAATATGTAGAGGAGACAAAACCCATCGACCAATTGCCAATATCCAGCTGAAGATGACGTGTGTTGCATATATTAGACGCTTTTGGCGACTATATCATGTTAAAGGCTAAGAAAACTTTTAAGAAACTTTTAAACCTTTCACCAAAACTAATAAATGTAATTTATTATCGCTTGGGCGATTTTAACGCTCACATGACATTTTTTAAATGCAATCCTCATAGGATTTGTGACGTCATCTAACGAAATTTGTAACCCTTAACCCCAGTCGTAGTTGAGCTTATCGGTTTAGCGCGGATCGCCTAACTGGAATATTTAATCGTAGTGGGAGGATAGGGAGGGAAGCTTCAATAGCGTGTAGAAAGAGTTGATTTCCGGTTGGATTCTCATCTGCAAACCGGTATACGTGAAGTAACTGCGAACTGAAGCTTATTTATAGAAATAGGTAAGGGAGTAGTTCCCTGTCCGTCGAAATGTTTACTCTGTATATCGAAGCCGCCCGGTTCATTATTAATATCTGTATTAAACAAACTGTAATTTGAAACATGACAAACAACATTGACAAACATTTCAACCGTACACTAAACGACGGTCTGTCCTTGCTTTTAAAGAGCAGATAAAAAATTGCAGAAAGGAAAAAATTCGACTAATCAATCTAGATACATCAATTACACGCCGAATAGTCTTTGCTTAAGGGCCTGAACTAAAAAAGAAGAATTCGTTTATTTGTTGTCTAGGCCTGTTTGTTTAAGGCTCCAAACTTCCCAGAACGCCTCTCTAATATTGATTAGCGAGCTGGAGACAAAAGTAAATTAGACACCCGAGTGGAGAAGTAACTACTTTTACGCTGTAAAGGCGTTACATTCCGGCACAGGGTACACAGCCCCATTGGGATAGACTTCACGTGACCGATTACCTAACATGCTATTAAATTGTCTATCTTACCCTCCCTATTCTTTTTTCTTAGTCCCATATTTTATCTTAGCTGCCATCAGGTCTCTCAGATTGTTTGTTTGCCATTACCCCGTTTGACAAGATTGCAATTATCTAGAAGGAAAAACAGTGTAATTTACACTTTCTTAGCCGTTAATGAGATCAAGAACAATACTGGATAATACATTGTATCCATCAAACAGCATACTGCTTAGTACTGATAAGATCACCAATATATGGACATTTTCTTTAATTACGTTTTGTATAAAAGCTTAACCATATACTTACCGTTGAGACTCTGCGCACGGCCGCTACTAGACAAAACAGTATAGCACCAAAACCCGGCAATACTGGAACTTTATTATATTATAAGAAGAGTAAACTGCGTTAAGAGTTTGAGAAAGCATTTTTCTTATTATTATCGCAAAGTGGAGACAGACAGAGAGATTTGAATTGGTTTATTGTGCATATTTTGCAACTAAAATAGAATGAAACAGTCAATTGCACAATGAAATATTTTAAAAGAGTAGCAACTGTCGGGACGTATTATCTGCTTCTCACATTTTACGATCCCTTTAATTCACTCATTCATCAATAATGCATTAAAAAAGTATACAAAGGCTGCTTTGGAACATCAAAAAGCTGTCTAATATGAAAAAATAGAGTATCTACTGTTTTACAGTTAATTTTTAAAATTTAAATAATCTTTTAAATAATACTCAAAAATAATATTTATGTGAAATCTAATATGAATCGTTCTTCACCTGAAGCTTCTATTGGAAATACGGGAAATAAGCCAGACTTAGTAAAATATGCTGAACTATTGCTTATGCTTCATAACAATGTTAGAGAGAGTTTAGATGATTTTAAGATAAAAATAAAATTGAAAGTAGACAGAAATATTCAAGAGACTGTTAGTTGTAAAGTAAAATCGATGATTGGAATAGAAAATATGGACGCCTGTCTAACTGTAGTAGCCTCCAGCAATTTCTCATCATCTCTTTCACCGACGCCTCCGACCAAGATGAATTCAAACGTAAGAAGTTTAAAGTCGTTAAGAAGATTAAAGCTTGAGCCAAACGATGATTCGAAAAGATCCTCTATAAAACATCTAAGTAAATACTGCGGGATAACTGAACAGGGAAAAAAGTTTTTTGGTAAATTAGACAATGCTTCAACCACCATGCACATTCAGGCATAGATTTATATATACGATAGAGTGGTCATTTTGGATTATAATTCTTTCAGTGATTATATTGATAGCTAAAGGGGTCGTTCTAGTTTTCCTTCTCCTTGAAGTTGTTGATAAGTAACACTTGATTAATGATTCAGTTTAAATTTGTTAAGACTAATTAACTTATTGAAAAGAAATTAATAAGGCTTACTCTTACAGCTCTTATAACGAGACACAAAACGTTCTCGCTCTCTGTGTTCTATTTCTCTCCCCTTTTGCTGCTTTCCACCTATTTTACTTTTACAAAAATCTCTCTCCTCAATAATTCTATTTTCTGTAGAAAATCAGCATTATCCAATATATTTGAGGTTGGTTAGCTTATAAAAGCTATTTCATTTAGGTTATAAACGGTTGACTGTCATCTCCAATCGTTTACGTATTAAGAAAATGAAGGAGTAGGTATAATCAGAGAGTGAAAAATTAAATTATTCTCAATTACCTACTTCTGATTATATGATTATCTCTTCTTCGTTTATAGAACATTATTGATTCATAGTCCTTTATTTTTCGTTTCTCCTTATTTCCTACTTTAGTTAAATACATATACATATTGATATTTTTTTTTGTATAACCAACCTAAAAAGTCTGTTTTTCTTGAAAATATTTACATTATTTTTATAATTTATACGCTGTTCTTTCAGTAGATTAAGTTAATTTGACAGCTGAAAGTGCCATCTATTTATTGGTCTTATAAAGTAGGCTAAAAAAATCTTCGGGAATACAGCTATCCTCTAGTCTTTCTTTCTTCTTCGTCAATAAAAATAATATAAAGAATATTGAAATCCAGAAAAACTAAAACTAATGACCGAAATCGGTATATATTACTATGGGTATTTAGAATTCGACTGCAGAGTATTTACAAAAGGCGTTGCATGACATCGAGAAGCTAATAAAATTCAGAAATGCGATCAACTGCCGACGTCTATACGATCTGATCGAAACGAAATTGATCGATTTGTGCGGAAGCGGATGTATGGAGGAAGTGGTCCGCAACTATTTTGTGAATAACGAAAAAATTCCGGTTTATTGCTCAACCGCTGATAAAGCTGACAGTTGTTATGAACAATTACATGATCATATTAGCATCCTTTTGAAAATTAGAACTGAGACAAGAGCTAGTCTTTTGTTAATAAGAGGCGTTTTGGATGACAATTTGTCATTTGAAAAATGTAAACCAACTTTTCAAAAGCTTAATCAAGTGGACAGTAAAATTTCCGAAAAAGATTATAGACCATTAACTGTTTGCAGTAGATTCGATTATAAAATCTAATGATACTTTTGAGATAGGAAGGTGGAATAAATGCGGAAAAAAATTATATAATACTTAAAGATTTAACGTAATCCATTTAAATTAGATATCACATGCATTGCGTGGAAAATTAACCGTTGAGGATTGACGCCTACTTTTCAGCCCTCATCCTTTAAAGCTACCGGCGGATTTTCTTATTATTTCCGAAATTATTCTCCAATTACGTCATAGGCGGTACTCAAGCGGTCAGCACCTGCTGATTTGGCATATATTCATTAAAGTCGTAAATGGGGAATTTTTTCCTGCCTGATCGCAACTTGACCTTTAACATTCGTTCCTAATATCGTTCGTTATACGCACGACATATTCAATTAATTCCACCTTTTTTCTGAATTACGCAGCCTGTCATTATCCCTTTTGATTCGTACGCGTAAATTTACGAGCTGTCGCCGAAACTAATGTAAACAATTCGGTCGACGGTAATTTACCATTTGTCACGTGACGTTTAAAGCTTCCGTGAAATGCACGCGGAAAAGAAATATTAATGTAATCTTATTAGACGTTCTCGTAAGTAAATTTAGTATTTTTGTAAAGGGAAGATTCGCTAATTGTATTAAAGGCAGAAAAGACAGTCTAGAGAAATTTCCGGTTTACTATCCGTTTCCCATTCTTTTCAACTTTGTTCCAGAACGATTCGCGTGGAAACGTTCCAAATTTTTGTTTGAACTTTATTGACCCTTCACATGTTCGCGTTCCATTGTTAGGGCAGAGTGTGAGATTAGCGGAAAATTTTTGTATTTAATAAGAAAATAAAGGTTTTGACTTAGGAAGGAGATTCTTGTTGATAAGATAATGGAGGGCGTTAAAAGCGTTCTATGTCTCATCATATTTTTCCGAAAGCTCTCACTACACCCTGGGGAATTATCGCTAAAATACAGCATCAAGAGGATTACGGGCGTTGCTATTCATACCTGGTTGTCGGCGACGTTTTAACAGCTATCGAAGCTTTAACAATGACGCCATTGGTGTTAAATTGTTTTTAATGGCGTATTGAACTTCATCCTGTTCCCTTCATTTCCCTTACGCTCGATTTGTCCAGCTGCGATGTCCACTATCATCATTATACACGTTCCCTTTGGCGTTTACGTAAGCTTTTGACGCCAAATTGAAAAATGCAGCGATGCAGCTCTGCTATATTCCTTCTCATTCTCCGCCCCGTTGAACAGCATCCACTTTAGAACAAACGCGTTCTAATTTGGCGGCGAAGCGTTTAAAATTACCCTGTTTTCTTTTTCTTCCTTTTACAGACTGTCGTAGAATTTATAGAATCAGACGACTTCCACATCGATATTAACGTCACGTCGGACTCCTATGATGATTTGACTAAAGTGAACTACGTCTACTCTTCGGATGGAGATGCAGCTTTGCTATATTTAGTAAGTTTACAAATACTCTCCACTGTTAATCAAATCTGTTTTGGTGGGAAAATTTCGAATAATAGGTCTTGATCGATAATACAAATAACAAATGTATTTACTTTATTTGGGGAAATATATGAGAATAAGTCGACAAAGTTCTCTTATCATCTAACAATATTACAATACAAAGAAACGAGATTTTTCAGCCTATTTACCCCGCCTTAACAATCGAATCTTTTATTAAGGAAAACTAATGTATAGTTTCACACTATTTGTTTTACACATATCCATTTTCATTAAAGTTATTAATTATCCTACTACTATTCTTTCTCTATCTCTCTCGCTCTCTCTTTCCCTGCCACGTCTTTACTCTTTAAAGGCTATTGATGAATTTATTCTATGCAGTCAATCCTCTTTTTCTTTAATTTAAAAATTTTCTATAAAAAATTACATTAGACATTGGTTGAAGATTTTCTTCATTCCATTAATGGAGAGATTTCTGTACCATATAAGCCTGAATAATATTCACTATAGATGATATAAGGAGTTGAGAAAGACGTTATTTAATTTATGGAGATAATATGTATATCGGGAAAATAACTCTCAATAATATTCAGAATTTTAATACGCTTATATGTCTAGTCAATATCAACATCTGTTTTCTTCTCGTAAAGTACAAAGGGAAAAGAGTCTTTACCTAAAGATAAACAAACTAATTTTAGAGCTAAAGTAACACTGTGTCGTGTATTAGAATGGAGAATGGAGCAAGTCTTTAATAATCTAGCTAACTACCCAAAGGCGTTGTAGCAAATGAATATCTATTTATCAATGCATAAAAGTAAAAACCAGGTATTGTTTACTAAGGAAGTAATTGACTGGCAAGAATTGAACACCACAGAACCTTTTCAAGCTATTTATTCATGCTGATGATTCAATTAAACAATAGATCTTTGTCAGCGGTCAACTGTGAATAGGCAGCTCTTTTAGGCAATTAGCAATTGAATGTATATAGCCGCTAGATGGCGCTGTACTTGTTTCAAGGGAATGAAAACACTATTATAAATGGAATTAATTCTTAGAGTTTGGAATTTTTTATATTCTGTTTGATTAGACATAATTAATTTTTTTCATTCAATAATCTTTTAATTACAGTATGAAGCTGAAAAAGAATTGGAAGGTCTAACAAAAGAATTGGGCATTACATATTTATCAGCAACTATCGTCGCCATCTGTTGTATAGTGTTTATTTCGATAACAATATTCATCTGTTGGTGGAATACAAATAAAAGACCTTTACTAAGTGGAAAATTTCAATTTAAACCAGGTAAAATTTCAAGTTGACTACTCCATTAAAACCTAAGCTTTGCTTAGTAATTAGTTGGAACTCAATATGCAAATGAGTAATGTCCGCGCTGCCACTCTAGTGAGCGTAGACGGTATATAAGAGAAATAAGTATGTAAGTAAGGTTGTACGGGTTCGCCCGTACATATACTAAAATTGGAACGATACAGAGAAGATTAGCATGGCCCCTGCGCAAGGATGACACGCAAATTCGTGAAGCGTTCCATATTTTTTTGTCAAATTAAAATATTCTCTTTCATCCCATTTTATTAATTGTTAATGAACTACGGTAGCTTATAAGAATGCTAATACAATCAAATCTATTATATCTTTAATCTTCTAAAAATAGTTTTATATTTCTAACAGACTCGAGTGCTGCTCCTCTTTTAGACGATTGTAAGTCTATAACAAAATTAAAAAAAGAGGATGGATGCGTCTCCAGTGATGAAGAAGGTAGACGAGGTGCGGCAAGAAACGCTGCTTATAATACAACACCAAAAAGACAATTTCAAGGTAAAGACAATCCTTTGTAACCGACTATATAATTAAGCTCATTATATGCTTTTTATATAAAAAAAAAAGAGAGTATAAATAACTTTTTCTCTTTTTTCATTACTTATTTTTTCCTGTAGATAAGCAAAAAGAAGCAGATTACGCTCACAGGGTTACTTTTGCTAAGGGCGATGATGTCTCAACTAAACTCGCGCAAATTCCTGGTAGGTCTATTTAACCTTTATTAACCTTAGGTCTACTTATTAGTAAAAATCTTACAATACATAGACTGCTATGGTTCGGATGTTCCAGATGTTTTAAAATCTCGTACCAATCGACCTCAACCGGCAGCTGACCTGACAAATACTCAGTCCAGAGGCGTCCACACTGATGATGTAGTTTCCTGTTTAATTAAAGGTAATATGAGAATAATGAATGAAAATTACCATCTATCTTTTTACTTGCTTGTCTTTGTAGATGCCCGAGGCTCACCAAAGTACAGCAGGACCCTAGAGAAACCAACTAGCGTTACTTTTGGCTATCCTGTCGCCAGATTTGGAGATGAGGATGAAAGTTCCGGTACAAGCAAAAGTTCTAGTATTAAGGGCGCAACCATAACTTCTTTTGATAGTGGAAAGGGTAGGCGTTACCTTGGGAAGTCGCAGTTCTCTTCCTTAAATTAAGCTTTTTCATTAAGAATAAGAATAACCCTTTTTCCTTTTTCCCCTCCCACTTAAACCCTCATCCCAGGAGATACAGATTCCTCTAGTTCAACTAGTCTGTACGCGAGGAAAGAGAAAATAGCTAGTAATTCTAGTTGTTCTTCCGTAGCAACCGTTGTCAACGCGGACCGTCAAGGACGATATGGTACCTTGCCCGCCTCTTCATCGAGAGGCTGCTCCACAGATAGGTCGTCGTCGAGAAGTTCGACGCTTGACCGGAAAACCGGTGGTAGTAGTGGTGGCGGTTCTTCTTCCGGAATATATAGTGTTAAGCAGTAAGCGTTTGCCGTTTGTAATTGAATTTCAGAACTAATAGTTTTCCTTTGTTAGCGTACATATTGCAGTCGTCTTTTGTCTAGCTCTGATTGTGTTTGGCTCAAACGCTTCCCAAAGTATTGATCGAACCAAAGCTCATATTAAAATTTATCATCCTTTTGGAACCGTCCGAAATGCATCAGAAGTATACCTCCCGTCTGGCTATGACAGTAAAGTACTAGTTCACACTAAATACAATTTGATTATAAAATGGATGGGTATGTTTTATAATCACTTATTCACTGATATCGATTAATATCGAGTAATCTGACCTACCCTAGATCTGAGTAGATCGATGGTAGCCCACCTACCAATGAATGCTATTGACAAATTGGAAAGAGGGGAAAAGGCAAGCTGTAACCTTCATAGTACATGCACCGACGGATGCGATGTTCTGACCGGGGAATGCGTTTGCCATCACGGCTATTATTTAAACAACGATGGATCTACGTGCGACGGTACATATTCTTGAGTATCATTTTGATAAGTAATAACGCCATCTATTGTATATAAATCCAACTAAAAAAACTTGCATCGGTTTGTCAAGTCTAGAAAAATTGTATTATTACTATTTATATATATATATATATATATATATATATATAAGTCTTTGCCCAAGCACTAAGGAAGCGTTGTTTCATATTATTGTCAAAGTACTTATTACATATTCTAAAGAAAAAATATTCAATTTTTCCGATTGGTCTCTCTTGAGAGCGTCTCAAGGAAAGGGGAAAAAGTCTATAAATGGCCCAAGTAATTTTTATAGAGAAATCTTGAATGGAACTGGAAGATGACTTTACTCTTTCAGAACTTAGTAATATCAAAAAAAAAAGAGACGAATGTATTAAAGTGTGTATAGAAAGAAAATGAATTTTTTATTTAATTCTTTTTCCCTCCAGATATTAACGAATGCAAAGAAAAACCGGATATTTGCAAACCGAACTCCCGTTGTCGCGACGAACAGGGATCGTTCACTTGCTTATGCAATAAGGGATACTATATGCTTAACGGCACTTGCATTGGTAATTTTTTTCCCCCTATTATACTTGTGTTTTTGCAAACGTAAGGAAAAAAAATCCATTACATATTCGATTAATCCATTCTTATTTGTACGTTTGGTTTTTTCCTCACTTTACGATAAGTTTATCTTAAGGGTGTGACAAGCATTCTTATAATTGAATCATCCAAGTTTTGTGACTTGAAAACAAGTCTCTCTAACTAGTTTAAATAAAGCCGGTTAGAGATTTAATTCTAATATAATTTACGACCTCTCAGTAAGACTGTTTCCATTTACAGATCCATCTATTTAAATCCTTTAGCATTCGCTGAAGAACCTATTTATCTATTAAAGATTTTAATTCATTTAAAATAATCTGATATAATTCTATATAGTTAATAATGTAGAGAAAACTTTTAAATGTTATAGTTAACTCATTAATCTTTAAATACTCCCAGTCGTAGACCTTCCAATAAAAAAATAACATTGAGCTGTCCTTAAACTATATTCATTCTAGATATATTATACATACGTAATAATATATTATTTCGTTAGGTGGCGTTATATCAATTAATCTATCTTGTTTCTTGTTTATGATGTTTTTTTTCTTAATAGCTAAATGATGATAATATGAGATAGGGATGGGGTAAAGGCTAAAAGGTAGAACTAATTGCATATTGCTGTTTGCTAAACAGGGCGACGCGGTTTATTTATTGAATTATATTCTTTTTTCATTCCAAAGATACAAAAGGCGTCTAATCAAGCGCACTACGCCGCCTTTTTATAAAGATAGAAGAGAACCTTTGAGCTCTATTTTTTCCTTCGCTTTTTTTTACATGCCCCAGACAATTCTGAATGATTATTCGTAAGGCAAAAGAGGCAATACAAGAAAAGAGATTAGAACCCAGCAATAGAAGGGCGTCGAAAAGTAGTACTACATCGAAAACACAGATAAATGACAAACAAGATTAGCGAATTTATCCATTCGCTATGATTCTTTTTTGCGTTTCAACGGTCCACTCTTTACTATTCCTACTTTCTTTTGTCAGATCCAATTCTCGTATCAAAGATTCGTATCCCAAGAACCTTTAAAGATAATAGAATATCTTTTTTTTTGCAGGTTAATAATATTTGCCTCTGCTTATTACCAATTTGCCCATCTATATGTAGCTTTCGTGTTTCTATGACTACGGCTTTATATAAACTATTAGTCTATTACCCCCCTGTTAGTTTTTCTGCTTTAGAAAATCAGTCGAAAATTGAGGAGCGCAGGGCTCATTGCTCTAAAAATTTGATTTATGGGACTGCTTCGTTAGCCTAGCCTTGTGAAATTTAGGATCGTTAAATGCAACGTTTATACTATATAAAATGCATTTATCACTAATAGAACTGACCAGAATTTTATACCGGAAGTTGATTAGACCCTTTACAAATTTCCCATTTCTCTCTTAAGCCATTCATTTAGAAACTATTGGATATATCGTATTGGGATGAAATCTTGACTATCAACTACCTCTTGAATGTAAGTTGATATGAAACTGCCTCTACCCCTTCATTTTCGCTTTTGCTTTATGAAACTCCGCCCAATTGTTCGATATTCTCTTGTATAATTTCTTCTAACACTGCCCCCTCTCGTTTCGTCCTGTGGTTTTATTGACAGTCTCGCGCCAACTGGCGGCGATGGCGAAACCCTTAAAATGGATTAATCGTTTATTTTTACTCCTAATCTTATTTAAATCAATTCGAACAAATTATAATTCTACTTATTTAAAAGATTGCCAATCTGCCTGCCCGAAAGGAACTTATGAATATCTTCCATGCAACGAAGTAAACGGATCCCCTAAAGAATGCAAAGGTTTGTTTTACTCTAATGAAAAACTAGAAAGAACAAAAGGAAAAACTACTACCATTGCGATTTTATTTTCTTTTTATTCACCCTCCCCATCCGCCAAGCGATAATTGTTTGTATTGACGGCAGTAAATGCGTTGGGGAGAGGGAGAAGGCATAGCTGAGCTGAAGACTGTGTTATTCCTTATGCCTTTCTGTTTCTACCCTCTTATTTAAAGCCGGAACTACGATTTAAGTAGCTTTCTAGCCATCTTCGATTTCTGTCAGAAACATTCGGTAAAGACAGCCTTATAAATTGACCGGTCTTGTTTGTTTCGTTGCTTTAGGGTATTTTACTTTATACGCATGCGCATGTTTCCTTTATCCGCGATGCATCAAAACAAAAGTTTTTATAACAAGGAAGTGAAATACTGACAGCCAGGTCCTTGGGAAATAATTTTTCATCGATTATTTCTTAATAGTCTTACTGGGTTATGAAAATACGTTTAAATATGTCATTTATTGTTGTAGTGTTTAAAGCCATAGGGAGAAAGTTTTTGAATAATGATAAGTTGATTTCCTATGATGCGCAAAATTTTCTAGAATTAAGGCTTATATTACAAAAACATAATTGAATTCTTCTATTTTTAAACTATTGCAAACGATAAGTGTAGAAACATTTTAAAGTAAAATCCATCATAGGATTGCTTATCAAGACGAATTATCTAAGAAACTGGTGACGCCTAAAACGAGGTGCATTTGTTACAACTGTAGTAGTATCGTTAAAGCAATTTATATATAGAGATACAATATGAAAAGAGGTTAATTAAACAATACTCAATGATTATGGTTCACTAATATCGTTTTATGAAAATTCGCAAAAAAAGATAGAGATGGCGTTGACAAATAATTGAATGGAGAAAGGGGAAATCATGATAAAAGATTCGTATTATACGCCTTTAAAAGGAAGAGTTTTCCAACTGTTGATAAACGCTTGGCGATCATTATCAATTTTTTTCTCATAGATTTGATAGGAAATCCATAATCTTTTTGTATCTATTCAATTTATAAGTCTATACGATAGTACAAAAGCGCCACCTATTCAGTCGGGAATAAATATCCTCCTTTGACAGAGTCAAGTGCCTCTTCTTGATTCCCGTATAAAATATATAGATTTAGTTGCGTGTGTAGTTTAGACGAAATTTTATGCGACGTTAATCCTGATTTAATTTCGTCAAAGAGAAGGAATGAAAGGATAAAATATGCACTAGGGAAAAAGTCAAGACTATACAAGCGATGAAATTATATAAATAACAGATGTACAAATTATTAATTCTACGTTTACTCTGCATACTATCTTCTTCTTCAGCCTGTTCAACACGTTGCCAAGAAGGTTACTATGTCGCTAGGGAATGTACGGATAAAATGGATATTGAATGCCAACGTATGTATAAAGATTACAAATGTTTAATAGTTATTACTTTTATTACCAATACTTTTTATTAATAACATTGGTATTATAAAAATAAAATAGTATATTACTATTACTACTATATCCTTTCGTGACTTTATCATACATTCTTTACTTGTATTTCGAAAGACTGATATATGCAAATTCACTTTTCGATCCGTTGACATATTTTTTTTTTAAGAAGAAAACAAATAAGTCTACTTGTTATTGAAAGTAAATTAAGTTACTTTTAACATTTCCTTCTTATTCCAGCGTGCCGGAAAAGATGCGCTGAAGACGAATATGAATTGACACCTTGCCAAGCTTCCTTTAACAGAAAATGCAATAGTATGTTTTTGCTATTTTCAACTCTTTCTTTTTCTTTACTTTTACTCTTTTCTTTCTTCCTTTCTCTTTCCTTCTTTAAACGTAAACTCTAACGTTTTATTTATTTGTCTAATAGAAATCAAAGGCGCTATATCGAATCCGTCTGTATCGAATAATATTATCTACGAAGACAGGACAAAAGTGCAAGAAGCAAAATTAAAGAGACTAGAACAAACAACTGATAGTAACGATCTTACGTTCGAACATATATTCGATAGAAAATCCGGTTTTTATGTTCGTATGAATTTGGTTGAATCGAATCTTAGTCCACTTTACGAGGAGGTTGACCATTCTAAAGATAACGATAATGTGGCCTATAGGTAATAAAATCATTCAACTCTCACGTTTTTGGATAGATATCATCGATCTTTATTTCTATAGAGAGAGATATACGAGAAACGGAAATCTGCATCCGGATGCAAGAGCTATTCTAGACGGCCGTTGCTCCTACCCTATTCCGGTGCATTACCAACTACACTATAAGAAGCACAAGGGAGTTACTGCAAAAGCCGAATATCATGAATGTAAGGATAGAAACTGCGACAGGCCTACAGGCTATTACATGAACCCAACCGAAGAATGCTATAGCGCCGATGTATGTATTATTAGTTTAATTGCATAATTACATTATAATCTCATCTCTTAATATCGTTTTTTAAAGAGGAAAGTTGGCCGAAGTCCAAACTTGGACGAATCTAAGCGGTCCGTAACATGCGTATATCCACAAAAGTTAACTACACTCTTTAATTATGACGACGATCTTCGAAGGGCAAGTTCAATGACATATGATATTGATTCAAGGTTCGTTTTAACTCTGTATATTTGGCTCTATATCCAGGCAAGAGAGAGAGAGATGAATAGGATTTGTCTATAATAAATTCTAGCTATGAATTTTCACCTGACATTATAATAGAACAGCAGGCATTAATGGAACATCATTAGTATTTAGTAGTACACCCTTAATTGAATAAATAACTACTATAAACGGTGTCTGGCATTTCAAAATCTTTTCTTTACAATTAGCTCAAACTAAGCCCTATACTTTATTCTTATCCGCCCTCCAACATAATTATAGTCGTTTGAACGTCTATTTTCAACACATAAAAAAATAAAAGAATAGTTTTTACCTTTATATTTATATAAATATAAAGCCAAGAATTTCCTTTCAAATCTATTTAACTATTTCCTCTATACAAATTTTATTTAAATATATAAATTATTTATAAGAAAACAGAGTAAAATTTTATTATAAATGTATTAAAGGATAAATATATTTTGTAGATGTCAAGAGAGGCGTAAACAATGCCAAAGTTGTATGAGTAAACAAGCGCGTTTTATGAAGAATAGGAGGGGAAGTAGCTCGTGTAATATTACGAATGATGATGCAGATAATGGTCAAAGCCCTAGACTTCAATTATGTTTCAGGTTAGTAGACTATATTTAACAGAAATTGATAAAACTTATAGATAATTATGAACTTAATCTATCAAAACAAAACTATACAATTTTATAATAAACACACAGTTTTAATTTTTCCAATACTTCATTTAAATTGCTTTAAATATAAAATATCTATATTAATTTTTAATGCTTTTTGCAGCTGCGATTCTGCTAAAAATTGCGCATCCGTTCCAAATAACGATTGCTCCGTTTATTATGATACAAATTGTCCAACTGTTAAGTAAGTTCCTTTCATTTCTTATGACCTTAATTCTTTATACGTTATTTCATTATTTTTATTCGATATAGATGCACAACGGGAGATGTTGCAGAATTCATCTTACAGCCTATCTTTCAAAATGGACCTAAATCATTTGCTTGTCATGTACAACCTAAAAAGAAATATACAATTTATAAGTTGGAATATAGTGTATTTATGGCTAGAAATAAGAATTTGGTGGAGAATAATCAGGTCAAACCAATACATGAAAAACCTTTATCAGCTAGTCTTAATGTTGACGATAATCCTCATCCATCCTCGTCAACCATTCAGTAAGTAGTGTTTGACAAATATCTACAAAATGTCCTTGCTAGAAAGGAAATCATACGTTTGATTGTCTGATTTATAATTGATTTTAAGATATTAAGTAGTCGTTAACTCACTTGGCTAATTGCATCCAACTTTTTAAGAGCTAGTTGTTTAATTTTCTGTTTTACTTTTATAAAACAGAGAATTTCACGGGTAATTGACTCTTATTTTGTTAAATAATGAATAGGCCTAACCCTGTTGGTAACATTTTAAATTAAGAAAAATGAGAAAGCAACTCCGTAGGGCATATGTACTAGTAGATAAATTCTGTAATACAAAATGGACATTATTAACCATGCCATGTTCTCACAGACACGACATTCTACGTGTTCAGTATAACACACCGAAGCACGAACGAATTGAAATAGTCGACGGAGTTTCAAATTCTCCCCGAATGGATGCTGGCTATTGGACAGCTGTTGGATCTGGATGGGATTATCGTACTATAACAAGATACAGAGATTCTACTCATAGCTTTATTGCTTTGAATGTCAAAAAGCCATTTGGCATCTCGTTATCTAAATGGAAAAAATCTAATTGTAATTCAGCTAGCAACATTCTAAACGATACACTTATCCGAACTAATCAAAATCGTCTATATCATCAGTACACCGATCTAGCAGTTATCCAAAGAACTAAGGGAGGACCATTCAAGATTTTTAATCCTAGAAAACAACCGTCTATTGAATTTTCCATTCCAAAAAGCGCTTCTCTACTGTCCAGCATATATCCGAATAGTACTGTTCTCGACGATCATTCTCTACATGCCAAAATAATTCGACAAGACAAACAGTTAAAAATTGAAATTCGAGGGAAATTGTTAAAATGTCCTGGCTATTTTGGTTTACGGTTGGCCGATAGCGAATCACCGGAAGTAACGTTGGTAAATTACGATGTTATAGCAACATGTCCGAAAACATTTGACATTAGCATTAAACTACCAACCGAATGCGATGAAACGGTTAACAGAACATTTATAGCAACTATAACAGACTCTCATCGCACAATAACCATCAGAATCTTAAAACCAGCTAATCAAATAGACAAGCATTCCTACGGTAATTATATTGCGTATCTTATATCAAATTAAAAACAATCAAGAAGTAATCAAAAGTAAATTTAATTAATTTTTATCTATTTTACATAACTAACTGTAGGGAAAATATCTAAAAATATTGTATATACATATATATATATATATATTATGTTTTCATTTCATTCTTTACGTTATCTCTATCTTATTAATCTATTCCCCAATTTACCCAGACGTCTTTTGGAACGAGAAAAAGGCTCAAGACAGTAGGTGTTACTAAATTTAGACAAACCAATGTATCAGTATATATATATTTCAAGCATATTATGCTTGTTATCAACTTTTTTCTGTTTTTTTTTCTTTTGCAATCAAAGCAAAAAACAAGAAGAAAAAAAAACATGAAAAGTAACAAACAAAGCATTAAAAAAAACCTTTTTTTTTCCCTTTTACATAACGTTTTTCTATAGCAAATTAGCTTATTAATAAACTTTATTTTTAACAAATATGCATGATATTTTCTCCTTCTACGTTATTTATTTATTATTATGTCTTTTTTTCTTATTATTATACTTTCTTTATAATAGTAATGGTTTTTTAAATTAATATGGTTTTATATGCAGCATAATTACATATTTACTGTATATTAAACATCATTTATATTTTTTTGCAGTGTTTATGTTGTGACAGTTTTTTATATACTTGTATAATCATAACGTTTCAATAAGCACGTGAAAAATGAATTAAGAATACCTTAAAAACTTAATTTTCTTTATTAAGCAGAGGGAAATTACCTTTCTTTCTTAACTTTAATTTCTATTTGAATAGGTACGAAGAATAAAGAGGAAGATTTGGCCAAAGAGATTTCAGTTTCACCTCTGAGTCCATTAGTAATTATAATTCTCACGATGGCAATCATTTTCCTTATTCTCTTGACATTCGCTTTCATCACTGAACCTCGTTTGGGCTATTCATCTAATAGAAAGGACAATAATGTTCACTCTCATCATTTATTTTTCGTTGTCGTCTACGTAACATTCAGAGCTGCTTGCTCCTTAGCTTTGACTTTTACCGTCTTAACTTTGGCTATCCACTGGTGGACAAAGGCTGATTTAGCTAATTTAACGGAATTTGGTCGTTTTGCTATTTCGGGAGGAAATCTTCAAAAATCTGAGGTGAAAAATATCAACTTTTTTATAGAAAACGAATTAAAGAGGCAGCAGGAGAGTCTAAATAGAACTAAAATGGAGTGCGAAAAACAAATGGAAAAGCTAAATAGGCAAATGGAAGATTCTAGATCTCAATTAGTTGCTAATAGAGAGGATGATCAGTTAATAGCAAAATTGGCATTAGAATATACCAAGTTACTTGTAGAAAACTTAACGAGAGATACTTTAAAATTCCGGTAATGAATACTTTTGTTTAAAAAACAAAGAGAAAGTACATAATTAATTAACTAAAATTAATCATGTCTTTAGTGATGAATTCTCAAATTACGCCACTGAACAAGTTCATTACCTATTCCGACAACTTACTCAAACTCCTGAAGCTCTAAAGTCTAACGAATGGATGAAAGGACCAACGGATATATACGATGATGTACGAAGAAAACGTCTTATGAAAGATAAGTCTACTTTAGACTTATTAAAATGGTTAGGTATGGAACATAAAGTTGAAAAGCCAACTTTCGGTTTGTTAATATATTTTTAATTAATTAAGTACATTTACAATAACATAAATTTATTAAAAATAAAACAGATTTTACCATCAAAAGTTTCCCTCAACCGCTCGAGAAACCTTTCTTAGATATAGACCTTCCTAAGCTAGATCCTCCGCGGAGTGTATATATTACGCCAGACTCTTCAGCTTATGCACCACTTCCAATGAACCTTTGGTACTACGAATCTCTGGAAAAACCCATTGGTAGCCACTCAAATAAAATGGAAGAAACTGAAAAGGACGCTACGAATAATAACAATAAGATGTCTTATGCCGACTGGGTCGCTAACTGCTGGTTACAAGCGTTTGCAATTATTATTGCTATTGACTTAATTTGGTTTATACATCGTGTAGCAAACACTTATAGAACGGCAAGAATGATTTTATACGGTTGTCCGGCCCATATCGATTGTAGGAAAACGGAACAAACTGGTGTTAACGGCTCTCCGGTTAAACTACCTAAAAGAGGGTTTTTCCAGTATATCCTCGATTTGAATATCAGAGTAAGTAATCTCGAAAAATACTTTTTTAATTAGTTGGATAGAGATTAAGTTAATCAATTTTTGAATAGATTATGCGTACGGAGGCTATTCCCAAATTAGTGTCGGTAGGAGCAGTTGGAATTATACTGTTTGTTGTAACGATTTTGTCGGATAAACTTGTTAATATAAAAACGGCTGCTTCAATGGGATACTTTGACTCTATTGTTGCCCCTGTTGATATAAGTCTTAAACTGGCAAAAACCCGAATCGAAACGAACGCTCAGAGAATAAATGAGTTTGAATTGCCGGTCTACGAACAGTTGATTGACGCCAGATACAAAAGACTTCAATTAGTCCTATCTCTTTACGCTGAAGCTGCTGATAACGGACTTAGAGAAGCCGAAGTATGCGCCTGGACAAAGATGTTAGATAACAGACTAAGCTGCGATTGTAAAGGAAAGAAGGGTATTCTAAAGAAGATTAAATTTGAAGGATGTAACCTACATCCAGTCTTTCCAAGAGCTTATCGAAAGTTTGTATAGATTAATTAAATGTTACAATAAAAAATTATCTTAAATTGACTCATTTTTACTCCAATAGAAAGAAAATAGTTGACTATAGAAAAGATTTACGTCAAACATTGTTTCCTTATATAAATTCCGCTCGTTCAATAGTAAAGTCCTGCTGCCATCTGACAGCTATATTTGTCTCATCACTACTGCTCGTAGATCTCATTGGATCCGTTATATGGAGTTACTTAAAGAGGTGTAATCTATTAAGATTAAAACCTTTATACGAAGTTGACTGCTCTTAGGATTGAACAACTTAAAACAAACCAATAAACAAACAAACAAACTTCCTATCATCTTTTTCGCAACGAAAAAAGTTGACAATTCTTTCTTGTGTTCGATATTCGATTGTTTTTGTATGAATAATTTAGTCGTATTATATAAAATAATGTAACAAAAACATAAAAACTATTGTGCTTAATGTTGTTTACTGTTTTAGTTGATTAATTAATTAATTAATTAATTATTTTATAATTACGTAAACAGCTCTTTTTTTTGTCATAAAAAGGAAAAATATAAATGCATTGTTATTTAAATAATAAACAGAAAAATTGAAAAATCACTTTGATTTCTGATAAGCATCTACATTTTGACCTCCATTTTTAAAAATAAATGATGAATAATTCATATAGATGGCGCAAGAGTAGAGCCAAAAAGTTTTTAGCTGTCACACACACATATTATTGAAACTTGGACATTGAATTGGTAGGTCGAATCGGTAAAATTACTTTTTTGTTAGTCTCGATAACTTTTAAAGATAATGGTTCTTGTAGTCTTCTAATCATTTTCACTACTAAAATAAAAATTGATAAGTTTATTTAAACTACATTATCGTCTAATAGAAAAAGAAAAGGTTAAACGCCTTTAAATGTTAGTTTTAAATGGAATAGTTTTCAATATATTAAACGTTATATTTTAAATTGTTTTGTTGTTTTTTTTGCGTAACGTAAAAAAAAATGAAAGGACCAATAAACAAACATAAAACTATTAACTAGTATTGAAAAACTACAGCGAATAGAGAGAGTATTTACCATATATTAACTTGGTTTTTTTTTGGCACTTTTAGACGTGAAGCAATAGACACAAAAGGAAAGGAAAAGAGAAGAAAAGTAAAGTGAAAAAGTTTCTTTTGTTGGAATTCACTTGAAACAAAGAATTGAATTGTTAAAATTAAAAAGAGAAAACAAAACAATGGAGGAAAATTGTAGAAAATACATAGACGCTGATGAAGATCATTATGTATCAATTGATAGTTTAGACGAAGAGGAAAGATACGAAGATGATGAATATATTATGAAAAAACCAAGTGGTAAGATTTATATATATATATATATATATATATTTCTTTTATTAATATCATAAATATTGAGAAAGGTAGAAACAAATCGCATCTATAAATAGAAGATTGATTTAAGGCAAAAGATACATAATTATTCGAAAAAAACAAAAAACAAAAAAACGGAATAAGCCTTTTTTTTCTAATTAAGTGAAACCTTTCTTTGTGTTTTATATTAAATTTTTTTTTTTTAACTTTCTTCTTTGTTATGTAGATTGAAAAAAAAACAAAATTATCAAAGTAAGACATTGTAGAAAGGATATTAAATATTTTTAAGACTATTACGTAAGTCTTCAAGTAATAGAGCTTAAGATTTACTTTTATATTATCATATATACGGCATATATGTGTGACAGTATTTTTAAGTTATATTATTAAAGACATTTTTTGCCCTATGGTCTTCCAAAGAGAATATTTTTTTGTTTTTTGATGTTTTTTTCAAAACGTTTAAGTTGTTCTTATATATATATATATATATATATATTTGAAAGAATAAGGGCGGGGAAAAGACCTTTACGACATATCTGTGACTTTTAGAACTACAGGGTCGTTGCGGTCATATATGAGTATGTGTTAGTGAGTCGACTACGTTCAACATCCGCTTTCTTATTTATATCTCTGTTCTTTCTTTATAGTATTTGTTCATCTTTATTAAATTAGGTTATAGTTTAGATTATTTGTAATAGATAAATGGAACTCTTAAAGAAAATTATACTAAGATGACTAGGAGAGCAGAGCTAGCAAGGACAGAGATAAAAGAAACTATAGACTAATATATAAACCAATAAGAATTTAAGGGGAAGAGACTTAAATTTGAAGTGTTAGATAAGAAATATTGAATAAAAACTTCAACAACCAACGGTACATCTAGAGTTGATCTGCGTAGTTCCAACAGGAAATCTAGAAATAAATATAAAATCCACAAAATATTTAAATTCCACAGATATCTTTATTTTTTTTTTCGCAATTAGAATTGATATGTGAGACAAGATGAAAATTATACTTAAAAGTGACATTTTTATAACGCGCACTCGGATAATGTCGACTAAATTTACTCATTCGATATTTAGGCCATACCTGACAGGAAATTTTGAACTAAACACCCCCACTTGTATTAACTATATTTAAAATTCTTTTCCCTCGTATTCGACATATACCTCATATCAATAATAATAATAATAATAATAATAATAATAAAAATCCGTATAATGAATTGTAATTATTTTTAAGCTTTTTTTACACACTCTTTACTATTTAAAGTTTAAGCTTTTTATCAGTTAGATTTTACAAAAGGTAATAAGTAAATTGAATAGAATAAAGGGATAAATAGAATTGAAAATATTATACAAAAAGGTAAAAAAAACGGTTAAATACAAATACAAAAACTCGTATAAAACTGGTATATCTATCATAAATGCCCTGTTGTGATTATTTCAATTGAACTATATTTTTTTTTTGCAACAACTAGATCATATAGTATTTTATTCTTTTATGACGAGTTAACCTTTCATTGTAATTTTTAATTAAGTATTATCTATTCAAGAATTTAAGGAAAAAATTAATAAATAATGCTAAAAAAAGAAAACTTCTTTTATGAACAAAGAGATAACGTAATAAAGGAAGAACAAAATCTTTTTTGTCTATACATGAAAAGTAAATATTTTAACTGTTGCTTTATTTTCATAGTTGGAAAACAGATATAAGTCTTTTATATATATATATATATATACTAATCTTATCTATCAATCATCAGATCATTCATCTCCACCCATTTTTTCTTCCCCTTAGTAATCAATACTTTACTGTTAAAGATAACTTTCAGTTTCTTTTATTTTATGCCTGCAATTTGATCTTAAAATTCCAAGGTGTGTCATGCAGATAACGTTGAGAAAACGGCTACTAAAATCAATATTATCAGTATACGTGTTTACATATTTTCAATATTTCAACTTGAACTTATTCAAGCTTCTATACTTTATAAATACTCTACTTTTATAAATATAAATGTATTAATGTACTTGATTAATGTACTTTAGGAGATAAATGTTGATAAACAATATTTATCACTTCATCTAGTTTCATGTGTTAGATAAGCAAAGCGCCATCTGCAGTAAGCGTTTATTATTAATAATTTTTAAGAATTACAATTTATACTTTTTCAATTGGAATATTTATATACATTAATGTCTCCTTTTTGCAGTTGGTATGCAGGTATTATGTATACCCGTTGCAGCTTTGTGGTGTCTAGTCGGTTATTGTATATTTCGCATGCAACCTCCGTCAAGTGATGACGACTATTATACGATAGAAAAATACGCCTTAAGAAAGCCTATAAAAAAGAAATTGAAAAAGAAGGAGAAGAAAGCTAACGAAGTATTCATGAAAAGACGTCAGAACGTTGAAGAACTCTATTCAAAACCACTAACAGGGAGATCGAGAAAAGCATCTGCAGCATCTCTAGATTCTGCCAAAGATAGTGGCTATTCGACTAAAAATTCATCTTTAAACCTTCCCTTAAGATCTGCTTCAAAGTCAGACGAAGATACCCCAAGTTTACCAGACACAAAATTAAGAGATACCTGTATTAAGAGTAGTCAAGATAAATTAGCCGCCCTTGATGATTGGCTAGACAGGTCATTAAAAAAGTCTGAGAACGATCTCTCAAATATAGATGAAACTACTTTATTTAACGCTGACAAAGCAGACAATTCAAATATTGAATGTCAAAATGAAAAAACTGCAGAATATGACGTAATTGATTCATTAACTATAGTCAGTACGGACACATTGAACAGACTGGCAAATTTAAGAAAGTGTGAAAATGTTGTTTCTGGTTAAAGCGGATAGAAAAATAACGCGAAATATATTAACAATAAAGAAAAGTAAAAATATAAAAGAAAATCCGGTTTTTTTTTAAAAAAAAAAAGAAAGAAAAACAATTTATTTACAAACTTTTGTTTTTACTTGAATTCAAATGGGAAACTTGTTATTGTTTTTTTTTTTATTATTACTCTTCTTACTTGTTTGTTCTTTTCCTCTATTCTTTTTATTTCGCGTTCAATTGTACGATAATCGAAAGACAAGTATTGATATATCATTAATTGTGGCATTACTCTTAAAGATAAATATATAGTATATATATATATATATATAATCATTATAGTCTGCATTGCCACTTAAGTTATGTTCCATCATTTTTATTCAATAAAGTAATATTTCTCTTTTAAAATTGAACTTTTCAATTTCTATATAAAAGTATATAACAAAAGGGAAGAGGCGGCTTTTAAAAAATACCGAATAAGTGGTGGATTAAAACGGCAATAATAGAGAGAAAGAAGCAAGACTTTTTTTTTACTAGTATTTCATATTTTTTATGAAATAGCATATATTATTATTTTCTCTCTTTTCTGTGCTGTTGTTAAAGGCCTATATACCAAAATGGGTGTGAACGATTTACCAAACAGCATAATATTGTAACAAGTGGACTACCTTGCGTGCTCAAGTATGATTCCAAGCTATTTTCATTGTGCAATTTTATTAAAACAACCATCCTTTTGTCTTCCTCTATTTTGTTTATTATGTATAATGAAAAAGGTAGTTGCCCTTATTTAAGGACAGAATGTAAGCTTGCCTCAAAAAGCTAAAGATCCATCAATAATGGAATAAACAACAGTTAAAAAAATAAATAACAGACAACGCCATCTTTCTGATAAAGTTTCTTATTTATTTATAAATTTAATCATAGGATTTTTCATAGAAAAATTAGGATACAGAATCTTTATTTTCTTCCCCACAGCTCTTATATGTATTATTATTATATATATATATAATAATCTCCTTTTCCTTTCACTAAAAATAGGTCTAGTACGAATATATTGATATTTGTGTAGATAAATAGAGAGAAAATATACAAGTCCCTTAAAAAAAAAAGAAGATATACTTAAGGAATTTTTCTCTCTAATAGGATTTTATTGAATTGACCTATTAGCTAGGAGATGATTTATATTAGAGTATAGTAATATAATTTTGAAAAAAAAAGGGAGGAGAGAGTGAGAGAGAATACATTGAATTATGGATTAATAATAAAGAAAAGAGCAATTTATTCGTAAATTTTAACTGTAACATTATTGTTATGTGCTTTTGCGGAATTTTGTGTAGTATTTAATAAGAAAATGTTTTATTTAAACTCATGTTCTGCTAAAGGAGCGGCCTCTCTAACATCCGGTAACTCTTTATTAAATCCTTCTTTCCCAAGAAGCCAATAGGTTCGGACTATTCCTTTACCTTTTAGCATAATTTCACCTCTTTCTTCCACTATATAACCTTTTAGGCTGTTGAGAATTTTTTTACATTCTGGACTTATATGAATTCTTAAAGCCAGACCGTTTGATTCCATTCTGGATGCATAATTTACTGTATCACCGAAAAGGCAGTATCTAGGCATCTTTAATCCTACTACTCCAGCAACAACCGATCCAGAATGAATACCAATCCTTAATTGTAACTGTTTGTTAGGACAATGTCGTATCTTAAATTGTTTTACAGAGGATAGTAATTCCAAAGCCATGGTGCATATTTCTCCGGCGTGTCGTTCGCCATTAGGAGTGGGTAGGCCAGAAACAACCATATAGGCATCGCCAATTGTTTCAACTTTGTAAACATCAAAAGTTTCCACTATATTATCAAAGGTCGTATAGAGGTCGTTTAAGAAATCAACAACCTGTAAAGGGGTACTAGATGCTGCCAAAGCAGTAAAACCGACAATATCACTAAAGAAAATTGTCGCTTTTTCGAATAATTGAGGGGCTATAGTTTTACCAAGCTTCAATTGATCAGCCACCTGACGGGGTAGCATACGACCTAAAAGTTCTTCGGTCTTCTTCTGTTCCTCCGCCAGTTGTTGAGTCCTACTATCAACAAGATCTTCAAGATGGTCGGTGTATTTTTCCATCATTGTCATCATTTGATCTACCAAGTTGGTTCTCCTAACAATGGAAAGTAATAAGGTAAAACTTCCGCTCAACTTAATTCCTGTATGTGGGAAGTACTTCTCAATTTAACTTACCTCCCTTTGTTCATCTTTGTCAATGAGTCTCTAATAGTAATAAAGTTTGGTCGAAATGCTCCAATTTCTTCCCAACACAGTCTCATTAAATCGCAGATTTCCTCCTCTCCTTCGTTCGGAAAAACTTTTGGCCTATAAACTGGATGCTCACTTCTCTTAACACGGCGAACTATCTCTAATAAATTAATGTGAATTTCTTTAGAAATATGACTTTAAAGGAAAAGGTAAAATCATAAAAAAAGGGAAAACAGAGGGTCATTCACAAAGTACTGCTATTTGTTTGATTAGCCGTTAATAACTTACCAGCTGTATCTTCCGAACTATTTCCCCACGGACCAGATCTCTGGATTATTTCTTGTAAGATAATAGAGAAACTATATACGTCTCCCTTCGGACTTCCTGTTCTATTCGCGTCATCCTCTCTTAGATGTTCAGGAGACGTCCATAACAACTCTAATATATAGATATTTCTATATTAATATTATGTAAATATTTCTCTAGAAGATGGCCGAATAAGGAGGCAAACACCTACGATAATAATAAGCAGGATCTCCGAAGTTGTATAATCTTTCTCCTTCTCGAAATTTTCGTAAACCAAAATCAGCAATATGACACGTCCATCTAGAATCAACTAATATATTTGAACTTTTTAACCTCCCATGATACTTAATAGGACTGTCATGAATAGCAGCCATTCCTTGAGCGATATCGTGAGAAAAGGATAGTCGGAATATCCAATCCAATTTAATATTATCATTCTCTAGAACATCTTGCAAACTGCCCTTATTACAATACTGACTAACAACGCAAATTTTGTTTGGTTCTATGCAGGCTCCTATAAATGGATTAAGATTCGAGTGTCGTAACTTCCGAACAGCATTTAATTCGTGGATTATCTCATCAGTTAGATAAATATACGGTTTCTGTATCATCTTAACGGCGACAATATTCCCTTGATATCGACCAATCTTGGTAAATATTTGCGGTTGATTGTTTAGCTTACGTAGTTCGGTCTCGGCCGATGACTTTTGTGACGTGCTTCGAAGGTCTTCGGATACAGCGAAACCCTATTAGAATGTAAAAAGTTCGAAGCTACATAAAATGAATCTATTTCTCTTTTTTAATTAGAACTTAAGGAAGAAAGCCATATGTAAGAGAAGCTAGGTTTATAGGTAAAAATTGATTAGCTATTATTTGTTTTATTCATTAAACAAATAAATCATTTCTGGTAAAAAGCAGATATTTTTCTTTCATAAATTTTCTTATTAATCAGTATTTTTTTTTATAAAAAAAATTAACTATTTTTACTTCAAACGCTAGGTGGCATTATATTTTCTTCTTCTTCTTCTTCCTCGTCTTTGTCTTTTTTCTTATATAATAATCTGCTTTTATCCATTTCAAAGGGCAAAATTTGAAATTCTTAATAAAGCCAAAAATAAGAAAAAAAAATGAGAGAGAGAAAAAGAGAGAAAACGAAAGAGAGAGAGAAAGAGAGAGAGAGAGAGAGAGATAGTGAAAGAGAAAAATATAGAAAAACAAACTGTTAAGTCTCTTGAAAAAATATTTCCCAAAGTTAAATGAATACTCATTAAAAACATAAAATAAAAAACGAATATTAAGAGAAAATAATGGTTTAAAAAATAATTAGCAGGGGGAAGATAAACACCAAAAAAAAATGAAATCATATAAAAATGACCATAATTAGCCGCTAAATCTACCAAGTATATGCACATGTAATTCCACTAATGCATCAGCGTGCAAAGCTCTATCATAATGGACAAAACAAAAGTAAACTACCAATAATTTCGTCGGCATTCTGCCGTTGCTTTGATCAGTCTGATGAAAAGTTTGTTGACGATTTGCAACTCGCTGAAAAAGTAAGTGGAAAAAAAATTCGAGGAACGAGAGAAAAGAGATGATGTGAGAAATTGAGGAGGTACGATAAATGGGATGATGTTTTAAGGAGAGATAGGAATTTGTTTTTTATTTTTTTTTCTTTAATTGCTATATAAAATAGATGTAAATTTGTAGTTTATCAATTATTTTTTAGGCATATTTGTGAATTATCATCTTCTTTTCATAAAGATTAACAAGGAAAAGAAGACATCATTTTTCTCAAAAATAGGGCAAATTTAAATAAAATGTAGTTAATTGTTTTGTTTGCTTGTTTTGGGAGGATATTTCGAAATAAATCACCTTTACCACAGAAGGCGTCTTCTTTAGTTTCTGCTTGGCTTTGGCCAACGTTTGATCCACATTTTCAGTGCTATCATCGAAATCCTGCTTTCAAAGTTTGGCGCGGAAAAATTCGCAGCAAGTGCAGAACATTTACAGTAGAAGATATAGAAAAAGATAACATTAGGACTATATTGATCATGCTTGTTTTGTTTGTTTGTTTACTTGTTTTGCTATAAATACACTTATTTACTATTCATTATAGTGATAATTATAGGATTGTTATATATACAGTATATATTTATATACGTATGTATATATATATATATATATATATACATATATATTCTCTAAAATATATGAGATTAATACAGAAAATGTCTCAAATGATACGTCAAAGAAAAAGATAGAAATGCTTAGATAAGCTTTAAAAACAGAAAGAAATTTGTTAAAACTAACTTACCCTACTCAGCCTACTACCAAAATTAGATTTGCTATGCATTTTTGACATGTCCAAGTCTCCGAATGTGATTTTCCAAGCAGTACTTGCTAATTCGGCAGATAGTTTCATTTTTCTAATTGGAAATTAATAGAAAATTTTTTTTCAATGATTGCCCTCTTCTTTTACCTTTAATATCGTTAATTATATAATATTTAACATACCTATTAATTTTATAAACGGAAAAGCCTAGTAATAGCGATAAGAGGATAACAGCAGGTATTACAGCTCCAACTATCCAGGCTATAGATTAAAAATGTATATATAAAAATTGTTACTTTGTTAAATTAAAAATTTTACAATAAAAATGATGTAAATTATAACATTAGACATGATTTTGTCTTTGTCCAAAAATAGATTGGATAAATAATGATGTAATTCCCTAATTAAAAGAGTTAAAAGTAATATAAATACGATGTTATTCGTATCTATTTTTCCGATTTAAATGACTTTTAGAATAATTAGTTTTAAGTAACTTCTTCATCGGATATATATATAAGATAATTTAGAGTGTTTTTTCTCCCTGGGCCCGAATTACCAGATAAATATCATAAACAAACTAAATACAGGAAAGAGTATACTTTTTGTTTTTAAAAAAAGAAACAACGTATCGTAAATGAGATTCGTGCTAATCGTGACGGTTTGAACCTTGTCTACTCTTTCTCTGTGTTCCATTGTATTCGTATGTGTATTCATATACTTCTTTACTCATTTCTCTTTTCAATTTTAGGAACTTACTTGAACTTGTACACTTTTCTCCGTTCCATCCACAGTCGGGTTCCCCAATGGGAGGTTTAATTAGGCCACCTGGCCAATGAATTACTTCTGGTCCAGTACGAACTATTTCCTGTTTATCCACTGATTGGTTAAAAACTTCTTTCCAACTTCCATTCCAGTAGTTTAAAATAACTCGATCAGTTACGATATCACCGTTTTGGTCGGTGGTTATTCCATCTCCATATGAGCTATTTAGTAAATATTTCATAAGATTATCGTTTTTAGCTTCTATAGACGCTCTTTCAAATAGACTTATAGCATCTTTGAGCAAATCACTTCGAGATCCTCTCTTTGCACGAATATTCAAAAATCCATTGAAGCTATTGTTTAATTGTAGTTGAGTCTCATCAAAATCGATCGACATAAAGACATATTCGGCCTTGTAAAGACCAATAAAGAGGGATTCGGCTAAAGCTGAATATGTTCCCTGTTCATCAGCTATAATAATAAATATACGAGCCAAATCCTTTGCTTTGAGCAGCTCATTTCGTTTTACCTCGATCTTTTTCTTTTCTTCGTAGAAGGTTGTCTTAAAAAAATCTGAACGGTAAACTTTTATGCTTTTCAAAGTTAAAAACTCTTCAAGAACTTCCGCCGTACTAGAAAATGGATCGCAGGATGGAGCCAATATAACGACCCTAGACCATCCAAATTTCAGTAACATCTTCCATACAATATCCGTTGTTCTGAGGATGGTGGATCTAGTTCGAACGAAGGTCGGAAATTCTCGTTTGTTCGATAATTTAATATCAGAGCATGAATAAGAAATCAGAGGTATGTTCCAGACGGTTGCTAATGATGCTAAAGGAATGCATAGACTTTCAAAAGGTGGTCCTAAAGGGGGAAGAAACGAAAAAATCATAGACATAAAACTAAAGATAGAGAAATTAAATCATTTAAGAAACCAAAGTTAAAAATATTATCCACCTATAATAATTGAAAAGTTCTGCTCATTCTTTATCACAATAGTATCTTCTAAATATTTCCAATTATCCTCCATGAAAATCTTGGTATAGTTACTGCTGATATGGAAGCTTTGCATTGACGAATTGAGATCCATCGAAAGTAAAAGAACAATTTGACTGGAAGAAGCTAAAGGTAGAGCAAATAGAAGAAGGAGCATATCTGGAAAAAAGAGACGTGCGAGGGTAACGTCTTTCCAGCGTCGAATGACGCGGCGTCAGTCACGAATACCCGTTAAAGCTTCTACGGCTATTATTCTAATTAGGTGTTTTACCAACAGCGGAAACTAGCCGGCAAAGTCTATAATAAGGTCACTGTCATCTCTAACATGAATAACCTAAGTCAACGTCCTAAATACGACTTAATTAAATTCCAATGATTACGTAAACTCATGCCATACTTCAAAAAGGATATTTCATTAAATATTTCATTCTTTTGAAGTTTTGACCACGCCATCTAGATGCTATACAGGCAATCTAAAGTAAGGCTTAATTAGGAGAGATTAGTTACTTGAACCAATAAGATTGTAAAGAATGTAAATTAGAAAGAAAAATAACTATTTACGAAGACAAAATGATGAATAATTTTAACTTTTTTACTTTGAAAAAAAAGAGTAAAAGGTTCAGATAAAGGGAGAGAGGCAATGGAAATTAACATCGATCCCTTCCTTACACCGGAAAGACTGTAACCTAAAAGAGAGGAACAAGAAGTGTAACGGTGATTCTTTTTTCTTTTAAATTACCTTTTATGCCTTTACTCCTTTCATTATATTAACAGTACGTCAACTTCTACAATCAAAAAAGGTTTTTGGTATGAAAAACTTTGAACTCGAAAGGGATAAAAATAACAACGATTTCGTGTTATATTCTTAGCTGTTTATTAAGAGGACAAAGGTCTATAACTTGCAAGTAAATATGAAAGACTATTTCTGTTTAAATAGAAATTATTAAACGAAAATTGAAGTAAGAAGAAGATGGCGCCCCATGCTAATTGTGCTTTCTTTTCAAGGGCACACCAAAGATCTGTAAATGAAGATTAGATGATTAAAGTAGGAGGTCACATGACTGAAGGAGGAAGTCCGAACCGGATTAGCTCCAATTAAACGCAAAAAAAACACATTGACCCCTTTAATCCCCTTTGAAATTATCTCACAACGTTTCTCATTAATTGCTCGTATAATCGTCGTTAGGAAGTTACCAAAACGACATCTATTGTCAACAAACGCCATCTAACTATCTAAAAATAAACATCAGCCGCCACAAATCGAATATAACGCTTTTCCGTTTGTCCTTTTCGACGTCGTGTCAAAGAATAAATTAGTCTTCTCTGATTTTGGAACGTAGAACAAATATAAACGGGACTACGACCGGACGTCTTCGTGTGTTTCGTTTATGCAAATTGTTTCGCGCCAGCGACCCCAAACGACTTTTCGGAATTCACATTCGTTTGCCTAGTTTGTACAAGATTTTACTTCAGTTCGTCTCTTTAGGCCTAATCAACAAGGAAAAAGATTTCAGAAGAAGTTATGGATAGGGCGCAGTTAGCGTTCATGTTTATCGGCTTTCTTCTTATTTTACAACCGGCTAATAGCTTCGACAAAGCTAGTTATTGCGTAATGGCCTGCCAAAGAGGAACCGGGGGTAATTTTTGTCAGTGTAGAGCAAGTCACTTCGCCGGGAAAAGAAAACGTAACGAAGCAGAAGAAATGGAGAAGGTTAAGGATTTAAGGTAGGCAATTTTTTTTCCTCTTTCTCTTTCTTTTTTTTTTAAACCAAAAACAGATAATTTCACATTTATTACTTGAAACTTTAAATACTAAGTATTACAAAGTAACAACACTCAAACGTGCAAAAAAGTACATTTATTAAGTTATTTCCAATTGAAATATTCTTTATATGGACTTTTTTCTCTTTTTCATCATTTATCAAAAAAAAGCCTATATTCAAAAGTCTAAAACTAGTTATATTTATTCTATTTATTTATATATAATCAATCGACACGTTATTGTTTTTTAAAAGCTTTGTAGGTGGTCATAATTGCTTTTATAATCGAGCATTTAAGCAGAAAATTATCTATCCGACATTTTTATTTCTAAATTTCATAATTATTATCTCATAAAGTATTCAAAATTTTCACTATGCTATTTTCTCTCTTCCCTCCCTTTGTTATTGTTCGTCTCTATCGTTAGACTGTTTTCCGTCATCATAAATGCTATATTCTTAGCCTTTCCATCTCCGATACGATTTATCTCTCTTTCTTACTCATTCATTCATTCTCACTTTCTTACTCATTCATTCATTCTCACTTTCTTTTCTCTCTCCTTCCTCCCTCTCCCCCCCTCTCTCTCTCTCTCTCTGTCTCTTAGAACACATTGGTAAGTCTTATAGAGATGAATTCCTTAAATTTCTTTCTCTTTTTATATAACATCGATAATTTTCAATTATTTTATCTATTGAAATTTCCTTTGAGGAAGCGAATCATATTTTGACCGTCTAGCGACATTTTACCTAAACAGGCCTGTCGACGCCCTAAGGCCGAACGTACTAAAGTTTTTGGGGAGTTTTTTTTAGAAAGTGATTATTCGCACCCTTTCATATAGAGAGACTTTTTTGCATCTATTTGAAATTCCATTGTTTAATGATAGGGAGAAAAGTCTAAGGTTGAAAACTTTTATAATAAATTCTCTCTGTTTAGTAATTATTTTTTTGAGTTTTTGCTCTTTATCTTTCTCTTTATCCCCCCCTCTCTTTCTCTCTCTCCCTCTCTTTCTTTCTTTCTCTACCTCTAAACGCGAAAAAAAAGAGAAGAAAAGGGAATGTTCTCTATTTTTAGTCAAAAAGAAACAATATTTATTGAATTCATAAAAAATATGATGCAGTAAATTCACATTTCCATAAATTTCCTACAAGAATATTTCTGTTCACACTGTTATTTAAAATAATTTCTCTTTCTCCACTTTTTACAGCATTTTATATATATTTATGAATATTCATGAAAATAAACATTAATTCATGCAAAATAGTTATTTATGTTTACCGTCTCTATAAACTTTATAGGGTTTGTCTGAAGGAAACAAATGATTTTTTAACGTGACACTCATTAATAAAATTGTATAAAAATAATTCTACAATAAATAAGCTACTAGCCGACATTGTAGTCAAAAACTTGAATATATTAAACACATTATAATCATTTGTCTTTCTTTTTATTTTTCAAATAGGTTAATCAAACGTTTCCTTATCGAAGAAATAAGAAGGCAAGAAAGGCAGAAATAACAAATGTTAACTATTATGGCAAGATTACATAAGAACAAAAAAATAAAGAAAAAAAAACCCTTCCCAAAAAAATAAAGGAATAAAAAAAAGAAAGAAAATGGAAGTAATGGAAGAAAAAAAAAAAAAAAAAAAGAAATAGATCGAAGTATAGTATAATCTCGTTTATCCAAAATTGTCAAATATTTAAGTATACTATTAGATAGTTTAATAAAAAATTTCAATTTTAACTTTTATCTTAAAATCAGAAGAAAAGTCAAAGAGAGAGGATGGAGTGGCGGAGAAGGAAAAGTTAGACGACAGCATATATATATATATATATATAAATTTTAAAGAGGCGTATCTTACCGTAGTTTTTTAATTTGTTTTTTTGCTCTTTTTTTCTTCATTGTTAGAAAGAGGAGAAGAAAAGATAAAAGAAAAAAAAGAGTATTTAAAAGACGACAGTATAAAACAATTGGTTAAACGATATTGTACTATATACAAAAAAAATCGTATCTTAAGATATATATATATATATAAATATATATACATATATATATACATATGTATATATATATACCGTATATGTGTGTTTTAATTGTCTTTGATTTCACGTGCAAACTATAAAAAAATTATAATTTAGAATAAATTTCTATGATATTTTACTGTTGATTAATAAATTATATACAGTATATGTATATATATGCATATATAATTTATATACATATATATGTATATACTGTATATGTAAGAATAATTTAATTAAGTAAAACCTTTAATTATTTGAAATGAACGGTAAAAGGTCAAGTTATCTATGAAGAACAAAAATCAGATGTATTAAAAAGCTTTAATTATCCACTCATTTTAATGTGATGTACTATTTATATACAATGAATAATTTAAGGTTATATCCAATACATACTATATATACATATATAAATAACCCTTAACGTATATCACACTTTTATTATTCAATCCTTACTTTGTCGGACAAAAAAGCAAATTATTTGCTAGACGTCAAAGTATATTGAAAATAGACTGAATACTGCTAATAAAAGAAAATTTGCATCTTGACAAATTTATTCTTCAATATTGTTCAATAATTCATTTAAAAATAGAAAGGAGATGCTCTTCGTTTAGCTGTATCTCTCTTCCCCCCTCTCTCTCACTCTCTCTTTATATATATACTGTATATAGTGAATAGTTTTATTATAATTCATCTAAAACTTTACTCATTTCTCATCAATTTTGTCAATTTTCCCTTAATCTAAGGAGTTTGTAACTCCATAATAGCAATAACGCAGTCAGTTTACGAACGTCGTCAGCTAAACCAATAACATAATATAGTAGCGATATAGGACTATAAAGTGTCTATCGTTTGATTTTAAAGTACGCCTCAAAGTACAACGGTCTGAATTACTTTTTTTTTTAAATTTTCAATTATTTTCATATATTAAATGACTTATGAATATATAACTTTTTGGGGCAACAGATGTATTAAGCGCCATCTAAAGTTTGTATCATGTAGGTAAAAGTTGAAAAAAAGTGATATTTATTAAAGCTAGTATCACTTATCAACAATTCTATATGAAAGCAAAAAAAAACTATCTTTTTATCACTCTTCCGTTAACTAAACGTGTAGAGCGCTTTCATTTTATCTATTCCGCCTACGTATGTTGCTGCCTTTCTTCCTCTCTCTTCCACTCTCTTTCCGAGTTTTTTTTATATTACATCTGCCCGCTACCCATGCTTGAACACTCACTGTTCAAATACAGATGTTCCCATCGATTAACATCGTATCGTAGTCATTTCGTGAGCGGCAACGCCACTCGAAAAAAGAAATCAGATAAACAAGCCAACTTAGATAAAAAAATTTTTTCAAACGTTCAAGAGATACCACGTGCCACCTTCTCATTCGCAGGCCATTTGCTGAATCACACCCGGCTTTACCCTATAAAACAGCGACGATTGTTCACTTTCAGCAAGTGTAAGATGATGCGAATATTGGAAAATTCATTTCAATAGAAGGATTTAAAGAGAATGAGCCAGTATAGAACCAAACTAAGAATTATACGGATTGAAACTTAATTTGACTAACGTTACAAGCGCGAACCGTTTGAAACAAGGCTGAAAAGGAGAAAAAAGATTTTGTTCAATCGGCTCGCGTTCTGTTCGTTCAGTTACAATCAACGAAATATTTCATAATTGCGGTATACTAAGTATTTTAAACAAGAAAATATTGTTTTTTTAATGTACTATATATTTATTTAATTATTTTATATTACAACTAATGATTTCTATTCATTTTGACCATTTTTCCGCTCTTTCTTACCAGCAACATAAAGCTCTCGTTGCGGTCGATCCTGAATTAAAAAAAGGGGTACAATTAATATACAAGTTTTTAAATTTACCAAACTCAAAGAGGGAATATCGATGACTTACTCGATTTCGAACTTTATCTCCTCTATTTCGGGATTTTTCCTCCGAATGAGGTTTACGTCTGGTAAGAAAAATTATTTAAATTAACAAAGCGTTTTACATAATATTATACTCGATAGAATAAATGCTAAATAAGTAATCGTTTCTTGAAAATCTTAGATGTTTTTCTATTATAAATAAAGCCTACGCAACGCAATAAAAATAAACGTTTAAATCTTAATTAAAAAGGGAACATAATAGATTTTATTGTTAAGTATAATATATTTTTTATTATCTATAACAATGATCAAGAGTATACTCTTTAGTTGGTATTGCTAAAATTATCTATTAAAATAGCAAATACCATGCTTTTCGAATTATAGAAAAATGGTCTACATTGTGTAGACGACTGAAGGCAATAAATTGACAGTCATATACCATTGATTTACATGCCGTGGATTTAAGTTTATTTTGTAAAATATAACTGTAAAGAATATATAAATTATACTGTACATAGCTATAGACTCAATTGAATAGAATAAAAAACTTAATCGAAATTATCTGATCATATTTAATTTTAAAAATTTTCCATATGGTATAACAAGTTTTTTCAATATTCCTGTGCAATAGGTAAAATTAGGTATAGTAAGTCGTCAAATTCTACTTAATCATTTAACATAATTACAACAGCCAATACAAGATAGTAAGTTTTACTACATTCTCGGTGTACTTTACTTATTGATTAATCAATGATCTCATTAACTTTGTTTGTTTTAATGAGAATAATGACCTAAATATTTTTTTAGAACTAAAAATTTTTTAAGTAAAAAAGAAACAGGCGTGGCGTAGTATAGGAACATTTTGCTTTCTATCTGCTTAATGACAAAGACCACTTAAAAATAAAATATGAGAGAAAAAAAAGGCAGTGCCGTAACACGTGGATCTATAAATCTTGTTTTTTTCGTCGTTGGTTTTTAAATTATTGTATAGGAAACTGAATGATTACCTATCTGAACTTCTGTAATAAGACGATGATTTTGTTCTCGATGTTTTTTCAGGACGATCACTAGACTTTGCAGAAGACTGTAAAAAAAATAAATAAGACAAGGGATTACTTTAGTTTACACTTGCTTAGCTCCGACACTATTTTTAAATAATAAGATAAATTGAAATATATTCCTTGAAATGGTGACGCCATCTATTGAAAAGTTACTAAAAATAAATAATAATCGTAAGTTGTATAATTATCATAACGCTTAGTAGTCGTTATTCTTTAATGAAATAAATAAGATAAAGTTACCCTCAATGATGACCCATCGTCCGCGTTGTTATCCTCTCTATCTCTCTTAGAAAAATTCTCATCTCCTGAGCTTTTCTTAGGCTCCGAATGTTTCTCTGAATGTCTATGTGCTTTTTCTCTTTTCCTATGGTGCTCATCATCTTTCCTTTCCCGATCCCTTTCCCTCCTTTCTTTTATTTTTTTCTTCTTTTCAATTTCTTTTCGTTCTTCTGCCTCTCTTCTACGCTGTTCTCTATTCACTCTTTCGACTCGAACTCTCTGTTATTAATATTAAATTCGATAAAAGTTTACAATGTTTTTAGATTATGAAAACATAATACAGCCTATTTCAAGTCCATTTCCCTATTTAACACTAACCTGTCGCTCTTCTCGACGACGTACTAATGACATTATTAAAGGTGTTGTTTGTTTCGCAATATTTTCTGTAGATTCGAACTCAATTAGTATTTCTTAATTAAGATAGAATAAAGAAACCTTTCTCTTTAGCTTTATTATCAATCTCGGTCAACATTTGCTCCAATCCAATATGTGTTATTGGTTTTGATGAGAGATTGTCGAGAAATTTCAAGTAATCTGAATCTTCATAATAAAACAATATTTACGTATTATTGTTTGGGTTATGTAGAATTATTTACCATTTTCAATAGTATTTTTACGAGAATCCTCTTTTTTAGCTTTCCTACTTATTTTTTGATAGGGTGTGTATTCTACCATGGCTTGATATTCATTACCTGTCATTTAGGAAATTCATTTTTATTCAAAAAGATCAATAGTTAAAGTTTTTCATTATTTACCTCTGGCGTCAACAAATACATATCCATCAAACTTACTCGAGAAGGAGAAGAGGCTGTCTTGATCTTTGAATGCAATGTAGGCTCTGCTATAAGCATTTTGTCCCAAACTGTGTTCGATTTATAAACAAATTGTTATATTGGCAAATTCTTTTATAACTACACTTGCCTTAAATCTGCTTTACAAAAGCGGAAATAGTTATGTTCAGGTAATGGTGAAACTTGTTCGATAAACGTGTCTTTGGTCAAAGAAGGTGGTAAATGACGAATTACAACCTTTAAGAGAAATTACGAATTTAAAAACCTCTTCAGAAATATGACTACGGTTAATACCTTTAGAGGAGCTTCTGGTTTATCTCTCGTTTTTCCCCCTTCCTTAGAATCAGTCTTTCCCGACTTACTACTAGACATTATATTTTTTAACCCAATTTAGTTAAATATTTATGCTTTAATATATATTCACATAAATATATCTGTTATCATTCGACAGTTTTCTTAACGAAAAATTTAAAGACTACCAGTTTTCGGTATGAGTCATATCAGATTTTTACAGATTCTCTCTGTTGACAACTAGTATTACCGAAAAATATCATAACTTGCGAAATGGATGTGAAAAATAATAAGCAAAGACAACGAAGATACAACCAAAGGCATCAAAACAATTCAATCAGTTCGGATCCAGTTAAAAACATTGTTCTAAAGGAAGGTAGAACGGCGCGAAATCTCATAGCCTGGAATGTGCCGCTAAATCGCTATAAAAGACGTAGTTCTTCCGAAACTAAGTCTGCACCTCCTAACTTTAGGTCGAGAACACCACCTATATCTAATGGACTAAGTGATAGTTTGAACAGTTCAACAACAAAATTTAAGTTAGTTTTTCAATTCCTATATTCATCATATACATCCGATATTCATTAGCAAGAAGCCATATTCATCATCATTTTATTATTCTAGATTTGAAGGCATAAAGAAATCAAATCTTCAGTTTATCTTTGTTTGTCCAATGGTTACAATGATTACTTTTTTTTCATGTTTAAACTCGTTTTCTTGCTGTAACTAGTATTATAAAAAAAAAAACAAAACAATATACTTCCCAAGGTAGCGTAATCTTTTAATAGAATGTATAAAATATTACAGTACTCTAGAATGTTCTTACATGTTTGCTACATTGTAGAATATCCTCATTTTCGTTTTGTTTAATAATACCTCTTTTTTTTATCAGGAAATCATCCGATGTGCGAGCGAGATATTGGGCATTCCTATTCGATAATCTAAGACGAGCCGTTGATGAAATTTACCAAACCTGTGAACATGATGAAAGTGCTTTGGAGTGTAAAGAAGTTATCATGATTATGGAACAATGTACCAACGATTTTAAATCCCTTATCACTAGGATGAAAGTTATGAAAGAATTTGAAGAATCGGATAAACCAACTCCAGTTGCATGGGAAGTTCGTAAGATATCTCCAAATAAAGCGACTCAGTCCCAAACAGCTGTTAATGGAGAACGATCCTGCGCTAAGAAGATTAGTTATTCGGATGCTGTATGTGGGAAAAATAGCGTAGACGTTTGCCAGAGTACTGATTCAAATCCAACTGATGATGAAAACTGGAAGACTGTAGAGAGGTCATCTAGATCTCGGGTAAAAAATACTCCTGAAAAGAGAAATGAAGAAATGGAATGGCAAGACTTAGAAGATGAGTATCGCGAATATTCTGGAAAAAGTTGGAGTGATTTATATGATGCGGAGATAGAAGCGGCAAGAACTCCTGGAAGAGTTGTTCATATGCATGAAAAATTGTCCTCTCCAGCTCGCCGATGTTCGACGACAGAAGTACAAAGACGTCATGAACTAAAACAAGAAAAAGCTCAGGAACTCAGAAATAAATTACAAAAAGAAATCACCGATAAAATGAGAGGCAAGTGGAATAAAGTTGAAAATGTAAGAGCCTCGAAAGAGAAAATTCGTCAATGGAGACGGGAAAAAATTCAAAAACGACAGGAACGGGCTGAAAAAAATCGTAAACAAACTATAGAAAAGAGAGTAAAGAAGGCTAAAGATGAAGAAATTAAGGGAAGAGAGATAGCTTTTATTCAAAGTTTAGAAGAAACTCACAAACGACACGATATAATGAATAAGGATAAAGATTGCGAGGCACGTCTAAATGATCTACAAGCCGAACAGGTAAGAAAGCGAGAAGAAAAAGCTGCAAAAGAAGCTGCTGCAGAAGCTAGGAGAAAAGATTTGGAAGCAGAAAGACAAGCAAAGTTAGTTGAACTCCAAGAAAAGAGAAGGCAACAGGAAGCGGAAAGAGAAGCGCGACAATTGCAAAAAGATGCAGAACGAGCACAAGCGGCCAGAAATAAAGAAAGAGAAAGAACCGAACGCTTAGCGACACTTGAAGCCCAAAAACAAGAACAAATACGTACCTTACAACAGCGAATAGAAAAAAAACAGACAGAAAGCGCTAGAAGACATATTGAACATTTGGAGGGTAAGAGAGAGAAAGCTTTTGAAATGTCTGTTGTAACACATTCAACAACTGATGAAACATTGGATACAAAACCTATTTTAACGCCGTATGATAAGAAAAAATTATGCACTTTATGCGGCGTTCTTATCACTTGTGAAGTACAACTGCAATCTCATCTGAGAGGTAAAAGACACATGCAGGCGGTGAAAGAAAAGTTAGGAAGTGATCAGTTTGTACAAAGAGATTTAGAGAATGTTAATCTGCAGCACATGTCAGATGTGCCTGCGGATAGGCCCGACCTTCAACAAGAATCTGAAAAAGAAAGGCAAAAAGTTCTAAAACGTAGGTTGAAAAAATTAAGACAACGTATGTCGAATAGAGCGTCAGCTTTTGAGAAAGAGAATAGAACAGAAACTGGTGAAGCGACTTTGAATGGAAAGTAAGTTTTTCTTAACAAATAGGGAAATTTGCAAAGAATAATCTTACTCTATTTTTAAGGTTGAAAAAGCTATTATTAGACATATCACGAAACAACGGACAATGTCCCAACGAGCGGACACTAAATGAGCTAATAAGATGTCTCTCCTCTTCAGTAAGTATATTTTAGAGCGGAGAGTATAGCAATAAATCAATTAAACTTGATTTTTTTTCACTATCAAGACTCTACAGTCCAAGCAATCTTCGTCGATAGCGAAGCGTCTGTGTCAAAATGCCCTTAACTCTACATTTTTCAAACCTCCTTTGAACATAAAGTCTCTTCATCTAGCTGCTAACGCCCTGAATCACTTAGTCCAAAGCGACTCCGAAATGTCCTCGTATTTACTGAAGAGCAATCACATTTCAGTAATTATTGACCTCCTTTCAAAGCAATTGGTCCATATTTATCAATCAACCGAGCAAAAAGACCAGGACGAACTTCTTCTAGCTGAACGTCTCTTTCAAATAATTGCCACCACCTTCTCCAAAGCTCCTAATTCGATCTCGATCGACGCTTTTAGTTATTTAATTTGTGCGAGTATTTTGGATACACTAGCTAATATAATGAGAAGCCTTTCTTTGGAAGTAGAGGGTGTTTGGTCATTTTTCAAGGAAGGTTTAAACATGATAACCGAGATTTCTAGACAAGCCAATCTGAATGACCAAAATAAAGAAGAATTTCTTACAACCGTCCGATCAACAGACTTATTAGAAGTGGTCACTTTAATGTATAGTGTCCTTCTCTACTTAGGCGAGAAGGAGCTGGATGACCAAGTTGCCTCTTTATTATGTCAAGCTCTAGAATTCGTCAATACTCTGGCTTTGGTGGACTTGAAAACGCTTCAGGTAATTATATTATTTATTCAATCGCTTTCACTAAATGTAAAATTTTTTGACTTATTTGGATCCATAGAATATGTTATGCGTAGAGGGAACGTGCTTAGAATTACGGCATCTTGCAGCGTTTATACTCAAACAACCGAAGCATGAGAGTCTTGTAAATAAAATTATCACAGCTGTTGGCTTCTTCACGAGCCAATGTGTTGATGCCCAGGTATGAATAATTTATTATACATCTCTCATAAATTTATTTCTTAAATAAATGTTTACTTTCCCAACAGACGGCACTCCAGACTGGTCAATCTCCTACGGTTTTACAGTTATTATCTTCTTTACCAGTAGATTATTTTACTCAAGTATCGCTAATGAAAGTACTTATGCCTACTTTGATTGCCGCCACTTATGAAAATCCAGCTAATTTAAAAATAATTAGCACTGAAGTGTCTCCAAGTCTCCTAGTCTCATTTATAAAAGATGAAATACGTCTAAAATCTGATGAAAATAAACTACTACATCTGTCTCATCGATTACCCATTGTCGAATGGGAGTCAGCTATCGAATACTTTTCCAAACATTAATCGGACGAGAGGCGTTTTATGTTTATTACAAATATTATTTGCTTTATTTTTCTTGACTCATTTCCAAAGACTATGTACTGAATGCAATCAAATTTTTTATATTCTATACTTTATTTATAGAAACGAATAAATTTAAGTTAACAAGATAAAGTAAAAATAAATATAACTGTAACCTTAGTATAAGAGGTTAGTTAAGTAACTATCCTAACTGTAAGAAATGCATTCTTAGCAGTAATAAGAATTGACGGATAATAGGGTAAAATTAAAACTGCAAATGTATTTAGAAAGCAAGCTTATACGAATGGTTCAAACTCGAAAGCTAAAATTAATGTATTAGATGATTCTTTTATTGAATTGGCACAATATTTATCCAAAGAAAAAAGAATATTTCATCTAAAAATACAATACATAACCTTATTTCGTTCTTGCAAATATTATAACATTTTCAATAATGCAGCTGTTATAATATTAGCCAATTTCGTATTGACCAACAATATTCTCTTTTCTTTTGACTCTTTGTCAAATGTTAATTACTTATTATAGAGTATTTTTTTCTTTCAATTGTCTTAAAAGGAGAATAATTAAAAAAAAGCAAAATTGCCATTATAAAGACATAAATAGCATTTACGAATAAAACGTTTGTAACCATATCTTGTTTATATGGTAATTAAATTAAAAAAAAGTGAACTTTCACTTAGTTAAAAATCATTTCTAAAATATTAAAATTAATAATACTTTTCAATCGACTAATAAAGTTATGACCCTTACAACACCATCAACAGAACCTGTTAAACACATTGTACAATCGTGCGACCCTGAAAACCAATCAACACTTGTGACAGTACTCTCATTAGACCCGATTTGTGCAGAAAGTTCCAACTTTTTATCACTTTTTAACTGTTACCGATTATTCTAATTTTAATTCTTGATATAGTAATAGAGAAATTATTTAATTACCTCGTAAATGAAGCCTCCATTAATTCCTGAGCATATTAAATAATTACCCTTTGAATTGAACGCAAAAGATTTCCCAGTACCCACTGAAAAGAGTTTTTGATTAAGTATTCATAATTACCTTAAAAAGATAATAATTAAAAATACCGTTATCATTTGATTGATCCCGATCTTCCATTCCTTGCAGGTGCTTTAATTCGTATTCATTTTCTAAAGAACCGTTAGTCCAAGAACATAGCTGAAACAATTTAATTACGTCAATAGATAAACTAAAAGTAGAGTTCAACAACAAACCGTTCCGGTATTGTCCATACTAAACACATTACTGGAAGATATATATACTGTATTAACTGGGTTATTATGGGCTTTCCATTTCTTGATACATTCGCAACTACCCATATCATATAATCCTAGATCGCCGTTGACAAATCCAGCTAGAAATTTCCTGCCATCGGAATTAAATGTAATACAAGATGGAGCCACTTTCTGCTCGTTAATTTCTCTCTTTAAACAAGAAAAATTAATAGAAATATGAAGTAATGAATTGATTAACTTGAAAAATTCATTATAGTAATATTAACAATCAACTTAGTAGTTTCTAAATCCATTATGCATAATTTTCCTTCTCTGCAAGTTGATGTATCGTGGGAATTTCGTTTACTGCCAGGTTCAACAGCCGAGCAAACGAAAGTTTCCGATACAGGACTGCAAGAAATGCTTTTTATCCTTGACAATGTTTCATCTATAATCATTTCTGATACTGATTTTTTATTTTCAATATCGAATAGTTTCACTTTCCCAGATTTATTACCCAATAGTATCTATTTGAAAAAAGAAAAGAAGCTTTAATTGTTACTTTAAAGTATTTTACTACTATTTTAGATATAAAATATCAATAACTAACTAAATTTTCAGCTTTTTTCACCCATTCGTGTGAAATTAGTGTGGCTTTTTTAGACATAATTGTAGCTTTTGTTGACATGGACTTTTGAGACTCCCAAGTTCTTAAGAAACATTTTTAAGTAATTTTCTTGAGATGCTTATAACTAGACTTACTTTATTATTCCATCTAAATCTGTAGATGCTATTAAACGTCCTGATTGGTTGAAAGAGCAATAATTAATTGTAGAAGAATGCTCCTTATAGAATTCATGACTAAGTATAACGATCGAACTCATATCCGAAGTAGTGGTTTCTGTTTTGTTTTATATGTATTCATTAAAAGAAATTTATATAATTTCAATAAAATGTATATGAAACCCTTATTTATATATATATATATATATATATATAAGTTAACTAAGTTTTGGCAATACCGGATAGGGAACCCGGTAGGGTTGAGGAACAATCGGTTGTGGTAGAAAGGGATTTAATCGAATTAAGTTTTTGTACAGTAGATGAAGATATATCAGTTCCATCACAAGTGTAATCAGCGTTGTTTTCCTATGTTTTTTTTAAAAACATATCAATAATTTTACTATAAACAATATCCAAGACAAACATCTTTTTGTTCTGTTGCCGAAGAATTGGAGTTAGTGTCAGCAGAGTCTTCAGATGACACTTTCGTTGACGACTTTTTTTCTAAATTCTGTGCTAACTTGGGAAGAGAAGTTCCTTCGTCAGCAGCAGTTTTAGAAACCGGAGTTGACAAAGAACGAGAAGTCAATGGTTCAGGTGTTTTACTTGGTAGAGATTTTGGGGAAGAAGACAAAGATGGTCCTTTTCCAAACCATTTGTAAGTTTGACTAGTTTTATTACCCTCTTCTTTTCTTGGTTGTTTACTTGTTTCTCTGTTAATCATAAAGAGAGCAACTATAGTAAATTAATAAAATGATTGACTAGTTAATAGTTGACGAAAAAGAGTTAATTTCTTCAGATGTACTTTAATATCCCACTTACTGAGAAATTACATAGAAATCATCCATTATTTCTAAATTAGCTGCATGGTAAGGATCCTTTAAACCATCTATTATACTTTTCGTGCCGCATGACATTTCATCTCTCTTCGTTAAGTCTGTGATCTAAGGATATAGCAACATGTCAAATACTGTCTGATGTAGATTTAATAAAGAGCCTAATACTCAATTAAGCGATACAAATCATTAACCGAAAAAATTATAAGAAACCATATATTTCAACCTAATCAAGTTTATTTATTGTTATGTCAAGGATGAAAAGCTTCTTACCTTTTCACGTAATTTTTTATTTTCTGCTTCTAGTTGCTGCATTTTTTGAAATTCGTCTTCCAGTCTTAGTAGAGTTGGTTTAAGTGCCAGGAGTTAAGGTTATTATAATTTTTCATTTTAAACTAAGTTATTAGAATTAAGCCTATATTATATAGACTAATCGTATTGGTGTCTTATCTAATAAATTACTAAAATTTAATAAAAGGATATGACTCTTCGAGAAAACAACGTTAAGAAAATTATGTAGCGATAGAAGAAATGTATCTTGCCATTGTTTGCTAAAATACATCGAAAATGTAGTATTTTCTTCTGGGTTTTTTAAGAAGGGTAAAGCTATTTGTTTTTTAAATAGAAATTTTATAAATGTATTAGCATTTTTTTGATATTTAAGATATGTTTTACTTACCGAACCACTCTTTCCATTCGATTCTATTTACAAGATCATGTGTCATCTTGTCAAAAAATTCAGATACTTTCTCCGATTTGTTAGACTGAACAGCACTTATAACATATAATCTGAATAAATCAGTCTCTAGCTTCTCCAATGATTTTTGATAGGTTTCATCTAAAGTGGAAAATATTTTCACATTCAAAAATTTCCAATATTCTTTCAGATGATTTATGTCTGAGTTTGTAATACATTGTTGCAGTTGTTCCATGACTTTTTCGGCCTGAAAATATAGTAGTAGTATAAAATACTTTTTCACATATTTAATGCAATAACTTCAGATACGATCTCACTTATGAACCTGTATTTTTTTTAATATTTTCATAACAAATGTCTAATCCATATTAAAGAATATACCGAAAATAGGAAACTCTTAGCTAAATTGACAAAAAATATAAAATTTTGGCACTTACTTTCATTCCTTTACGATTATCATTCTTTGTATCAAAATCAAATGCTTTAGCAGCATTATTCAAACCTCTGAAAACTAAATATTCTTTGACTAAATCCTCTAATTCAGCAACATCCGCCATTTTTAGTAGGCGGAATGATATTTCGCGCTTTTAGTTCAAAATATGAATTGTTTGAAGGAAATGTGAAAATAAGTTTATTTAAAGATAAAATAACAATATTTATGCTGTAATACTAAAAAATATAAAATTTCTTAAATACTAAATAAATTAATAATGATATACTCCAAACACGGCCGCCACGCAGAAAAGAGAATCCTGTTGAAAATACATTATTATTTTAATTAATTGCATTTTTATATTTCTTAAAATATTTATAATATTAAAAATTAATTAATTATTTTACGTTCATGAAGACATCTTGCGCATAATTATCAGTATCCGAATCCCAAAAGCAACGACATGCCATTCTATATTTGGAGAAAATTTCTTTTAAAAATATTTCAAGTAAGACTGTCTATTTACTTACTTTACACCTTCTCCTCTTAATTCGCCTATTACAACCTGAACAAGTAATTTATATCTTTCATAGCCTAGATCTGATGGAATGATTGTAAGGAAATACTATTCAAAAATATTCCGATGTGAAGTTTATTTTCCCACCTTTAACTTTAGCTTTTATATCTTCTGATATATCTCTTGTCCACATCATACTATCTTCTGCACTGTAAATTTTCTCTTTTAGGTGTTCTTTCAACACTTGGTGAATCGTCTCTTTAACCGCAGCAGATCGAAATCTGTATTACGAAATAAAAGAGCCGTTAAAATCAAGCACATAATCCTCAAATTCTTTTCATTTTAATAATTTAAGAAACAAACTTTGACTGATAGCTTGGTCGTATTATATATGTATTTTGCGATGTTTCCTCATTTTGTTGATTCGTTTCAACTTCGGCCATTTTATTAATCTAAATTCTTTACCTAGCACTTCGATACACTCATAAACATGGCGTGCCTAGTAACCTAGGAGTAGGCTTAAACAAAAGTTTAAAAACAATTGTAGAGAATTGTTTTTGTTACCTAACCATTATTCTTAGAAGAATAAAACATATTCGAATTTAGACTATCAGCACTTTTAGTTTCTTTCACCTTTCACGAAGTAATACCAATAACTAGACAATAGTTGTATGACCTGTATAAGTGAACAAAATCTATCATTTGTACAATAAGCATAAAAGAATAAACAAATAAGCTTCTTTTTTGAAAAACAAATTGATTTATTCCCAATTGATATTACGGAATATAATATAGAAAAGAAATAAAATATTCAAGAAATTGTTGAAAAACTAGGATATTTAAAGAGTGAATTATCAACTCTAACTTCTAACTCAAAATGTTTCAAAAATTTCAAATAATTATGATATTATCATTTATTTTTTTTTCAAGAGAGACACGTAATTTTTTGCGACAATCTTTCATTTTTACAATTTTGGAGAACTTTCATTTTTATTGAATTAAATCCATATTTTCTGTTTGCCAAATAAACTCTTTTAGTTTTCTTGGATAAAGAATATGTTCAAGGTTTAAAAACCAGCAATCATAACCGAAAATTAATGATTTCTTGGCACTGCCTATTCTCCCATTAACCCTTATTGCTGACCATTCATGGTTCTCTTCAATAGAATCATCTGTCAAAAGTGCAAACTTATTATGACTAATTGTGCCAATTAATCCTCCAGCATAATTATCTAAGAACGATTCATTGTTTATCGAAATAATATAAAAATCCAGATGATTGTTTGAATCTAGTTGCGTTTTAATGACTTCAAATAGCAGAGATCTTCCTTTGACGTCTATACGTATTCTAGCCAAATGATTGATTACAGAAATTGAAATGCTACCAATTACACTTGACCATGAACTTGAATCTGAGGAAATTAATTTTTAATGTTATACTGAATGTTACAATAAAAGATATAGTATATCGATCTATTGCTAATAGTTACTTGACCATTCTTTAACCGCTGATGACCCAAGTGTAATTCCCTCTAATGATAGTGATACATTAGCTTTTGGAGACTTGAAAAAAATGGCACCCATATAATAGCGATCTATATGACGACCAATGACTTTCAAATCACAAAGACTATCTTTGTATAGTACGATATAATCTCCTTCTTGGCCACTTGCATCATAGCATATCAAGAAGGTATTCCCTGTTTCGGAATTTATCACCTGCAAACGTTTATACATACTATATATACAATATATATATATATATATATATATATATATATATATATATATTAAATAGTTATGTTTTATAGAACATTAACTTACAAGTTGACCACTATGAGGGTTGGAAGTTGCATTTTCCTCCGATGACTTTTCTATTGTTACTGTTGATTTAAGGGTAATATCGAAGGAGCAACTAACAATTACTTCGAAATATTTAGATAATCTTTCGCCGAATACTTTCCTCGTAGGGATTTCAATATCTGTTTCATCGGCTAAAGTTGAGGCGGGAAATGTGATAATCTTGTCAAACGAATGATAATCATCGGGAGCTACCGCTGTTTTATCAACAGTTTTTACATGGCAGCTAAGTACACCTTCAAAACCACCTGTTGGTGGTTCTACTATTAAGACCAAAACAGCATCGTTTCCGCCTAGTACCTATTGTCAGGAGCATAGAAGAGAATTAAATTCTAACTTGATTGTAAACTATTGTTAAAATTCAAAGTACAAACTGAAACATCAGATGGAAGAAGGAAGTTTGGCGGATCATTTGCTACAATTGTTATGTTGGCATCGAACGAGTATCCTTGGTCACAATCGGCGAGCAATTGAAAAGATTCAGTGGGTTCGCAAACATCATCATTCAAAATTGATAAAACCACATCAACGCTTCTAGTAGTTATATTAAAATATTTTGTTTCTGAAATTCCCTTATAGTCACCAGTTTCTTCTAGAGCGTTTCCATCGTTTGTGGAAATATGACAAAAGGTAACATTTTGCGGAGCATAAAAAGTCATTGTGACTTCCCCGACATCTTCATGCAAAATTTGAGGCAAAGGAGCCCATCCAGAACTCATTATTTCTCCCCAAGCTATACAATACATGGGAAAAATTTAATCAATTTATTAATTACGTCGATGGAAAAAGTTACTATATCTTACTTATTCTACAAATAGGAAGAAGAATTGCAAAGGTTAGCTTTATGACACTGATAATTAAGTTAATATCCATTGCTCCTAATTAGAGAAAATCAGGACTCGAAATAACTTGAGCACATGGGGATTAAAAATATAAGACTGGATATATAGGCTAAATCAGTTTGCTCTTGAGAAAGCTGAGTAGTATTTCAGTGCTAAGTGATATCTATAGCGTAATTGAATCTTATTAAAGAGGAAAATTTAGTTATACCAATTTTCATATTGAAAAGAGCGCCATTAGTGTTTCGAATATTTATCCTATGCTAAATTTTGGAGTCCATGAATAACTTGTTTTATCGCTCACTAAACTTGATATATGTTTTTTTATTAACAAAATAAATGTTAGAAATAGCTTATAATAAGTTAGATAATATTTTTATTAGTTATTATGGCTATGAACAAGTAGTGATTCTTTGATATTAAATAGATTATTGTGAAAAATATATTTCAAGAGTTAACCGGAAGTTTACTCCGCCATGATCTCGTCCTTCCGACCGGAAATCTCCTAGAACGAGACTGCAATACACTCGTAGTACAAAGCTTGACTCGATATTACAGAAAAAACCTTGCATAGAGTGACTAAAACGCAAATTTTGATGAATGTAATATTTAATGTCGTCGTCTGATGAGAAATGCGGTCTGACCGAGAATATTTTGAAGAGAAACTCGCATTTCCCTGAAACCTGCCCACCAAAGAAACAGAGACTGAGATTTAGCACAATGGATTCTAACTGCGTTCGTCGGTCAAATTTTGATAGTATGCCGTCAAACTCGACATTTAAAATGTCTTCCACGAGCAACGTTCCAAAGTATTCAAATAGTAAAAAGATTATGGTGAAAAATCTAAGATGTTAGTAAATTCTTATAATTATGTATTGGTATTGCGTAGAATTTCGAACAAATCGAATTAAAACAAAAAAATTGAGCGAAAATAAGATAAAAAATCATAACATTGCACTCGCATCACAACACTACAAATATATAAATTCGTCCAAATTTATTATAATTCAGGTCGATCAAATGAAAGTAACGAACTGGAGGATCAATCATGGGAGAAGCTGAAGAATGCTGTCATAGCTGTCCATACTGAATCTCCAGTAGAATTTTCCATGGAAGAATTATATTCCGTAAGATATTGACTTTCAATAACCACTAGTTACATTATTTTTTTTTATGTCAGGCGGTAGAAATTACATGCGGAAATAACTTAGCTGATGTTCTCTATAAGAAATTACGTGATGTTTGCGAAGAATTCGCAAAAGAAACATTAAAAAATATTGTAATATGCTCTTTCAATAGTCAATTGTACAATTCTTTCTAATTTTTTTCCCTATTTTAATATTCGCTTTAGAATATTGCTGATGGAATAGGTAATGAGCAATTTTTAAAGATTTTGCAAAATTGCTGGCAGAGCCATTGCAGTCAAATGGTAAACTTCTTTTAAAATATAATTATATAAACAGTGTTATTACTACAACTAATTTGACACAGGTTATGATTCGAAGTATATTTCTATATCTAGATCGAACTTTTGTATTAAAATCTAATTCTATTTTGTCTTTGTGGTATGTTTCTTTACATTTCACATTTAGTGTTTTATTGTTAATTAACCCATTCTGCTCTCCAGGGATATGGGTTTGGATCTTTTTCGTAAACATGTATTAAATAATTCTAGAATTCGAAAACGAGCAATTGATGGAATATTAGAGATGATCCAGCTAGAGAGAAATGGCGATGCTATAGATCGTGGATTAGTGAAAAATTTATTAAGAATGTTGTCGGATCTACAAGTAAGATTTTATTTTCATCCTCTTCTAATGTAAACAATAAAACCATATGAACGTAATTACGAACAAACATTATTATATAATCACTTGTGTTTGTCATTTAGATGTATACCGAAATATTCGAAACGAAATTTATGGACACTACTCAGAGAATGTATACTGCTGAAGGACAGCAAAGATTACAAGAATTAGAAGTAATATCAATTATTAATATCTTAAAGTATCTTTTGTCACAGTTTAAGTTTCCAGGTCCCAGAATACATTTCCCATGTAAATAAACGACTGAAAGAAGAAAATGAGAGACTTTTATATTATCTTTCATACAACACCAGAAGGAAATTGATAAATTGTGTTGAAAATAAACTATTAGAAAATCATGTTGTAACTTTGTTACAAAAAGGTAGGATTGAAATGGTTTGAGATTTTTTTTTTAACAAATGCATCTGATTTTCTTTAGGACTAGATCAGATGCTTGAAGAGAATAGATTAGAAGATTTAAAACTTCTATATGAGCTACTCGCTCGAGTTAAAGATGGTTTACGAGAATTATGCACATATTTCGCATCGTTTATAAAGGTAAATATGACTAATAATTTTTTTGCGTTTGTTAGTTTATTCGGTTTGAAAATTTAGAAAAGGGGCAGACTATATGTAATAAACCCTGAAAACGATGCTGAAAAAGATAAGGATATGGTTCAACAATTGCTAGGTAAGAATTGAGAAATATACCTTTTAAATCTTGAACTTGTAAAACAATTACTGAACAGATTTCAAGGACCAAACCGACAATGTGATAGTTACGTGCTTAAATAACAATGAAAAATTCATTTTGGCTATGAAGGAGTCTTTCGAATATTGTATTAATCAAAGGCAAAATAAACCTGCAGAACTGATAGGTAAACTTAGTCAAACTGACTATTTTGTATTCTTTAGCATTTGTTTATCTTCAGCGAAATATATCGATGGTAAATTAAGAGCAGGCAATAAGGAAGCGTCAGAAGATGAATTGGAAAAACTCATGGATAAAATTATGGTTTTGTTCAGATTCATCCATGGAAAAGATGTTTTTGAAGCATTTTATAAAAAAGACTTAGCAAAGCGCTTATTAGTAGGAAAAAGCGCATCATTCGATGCTGAGAAATCTATGCTATCAAAACTTAAACAAGAGTGTGGTGGAGCCTTTACTATGAAACTGGAAGGAATGTTCAAAGATATGGATATTTCACATGATTTTATGCTCAGTTTCAAACAGGTAAAGAAATATTTACATGTATTTAGCAAATATAATACTCCTTCAATAACTTTGCCTATATATTCGTTGTTATGTCTTGTATAAACTGTATGTTGTTTTCCAACACAGCATTTACAACATACTCCTGTAGCTATTGATATAAATGTTAATATTCTTACTATGGGTTATTGGCCTTCCTATACACCTGTTGATGTCAATTTGCCAGAAGAAGTAAGTTAACAACTTACATTGAATAAAATAATTACAACACGTTAAACGAATTCTTGCAGATGCTTCATTTGAGAGAAATTTTCAAAAATTTTTATTTGAGCAAATATAGTGGTAGAAAACTCCAGTGGCAGCCAGGACTGGGTCACTGTGTTGTTCGGGCCAAGTTTAATAATGAAACTAAGGAGTTACAAGTGTCATTATATCAAGCTCTTTGCCTATTGTTATTTAATGAAGGAGATTGCTTTGGTTTTACAGAAATATCTAGTCATACTGCAATCGGTTTGCGAAATCTATAGTTAAAATTTACACTGTTGTTAATTTATTGTTTTTAAGCAGAGGAGGGAGAACTGAAGCGAACTTTACAATCATTAGCATGTGGTAAAGCTCGAGTACTTACAAAAGAACCAAAAGTAAGATTTATCGTTAAGTTTTATCGTACATTCACCCCAAGTACATGTTATTGGTATTTGCTAGGGAAAGGATATCTTCACGACAGATAAATTTCATTTCAACAAGGACTTTAAACACAAGCTGTTTAGAATAAAAATAAACCAAATTCAAATGAAAGAAACGGTAAGTATTAAGTTAAGAGGCGTAGCCATGACACTAAATACTTTTGTTGTCTACTAACAGAAAGAGGAAAATACGGCGACTGCTGAACGTGTCTTTCAAGATCGTCAGTATCAAATTGATGCCGCCATTGTTAGAATTATGAAGATGAGAAAAAGAATAACTCACAATTTGCTCATCTCAGAAATATTTAATCAGATAAAATTTCCAGTAAAACCATCAGATTTAAAGAAAAGGATTGAGAGTTTAATTGATCGCGATTACATGGAAAGGGACAAGGAATGCTCGAACACATATCATTATGTTGCATAGAAAACTAATTTACGATCCAAGAAAAGTATGCTTATTCTTTTTTCTTGACTGGACTTTATTCGAGTGGATACGTAACTCGAATAGCCTTTTATTGTTGTGTAATATTTCTTGTTGACATACTGTCAAATTAAACAAAATTTTGTTTTTCTTCTCCCTTTTTTAAAATCCAAAAACATATTTTACGCATCTAGATATTCATACAGCATTTTGCTGTTGTTTTCTAAATTCGGGTTCCAATTATATCCGGCTTTATGACTTCCAAGAATTGCCGCACCCACGCATGCATGAACAGTCGGTCTCAAAAGAGTAACTTTTTTTAGTGAGCTCCTCTTCAGTTCCTTTACGAAACCAGATTTCAGTAAATTCCAACTATAAAATACGCTACCAACACAGACAACTTTGATTTCATTCACTTCTTGTGAACTGGAGACAACAGCTTTGACATGCATACCTAATAACTGACCTGCCTCTTCGAAAACTTCCTTACATAACTGATCTCCGTCATTTGCCAATTCAGCAACTTTTATGCAGAAGGAAGCAAAGAAAGGTTTATTGAATTCTCCGTAAAAATGCTTCAATAATCCCATTTTATCTTGAATAGAGAAAAAAGACTTTATTGCATCCCAAGATCTTTCGATAGAATGAACAGATGGTTTTAAGTTGTCGGTATGATCAAAAACAATTTTAATGACCCTGTGAGCTATCCAAAATGCAGAACCTTCATCACCGATAAATTGTCCCCAACCACCGCATCGGATGTTTGTACCATTTGGATCAATGAGCTCGCAGTTGGAACCTGTGCCACTTATCAAAACAATGCCTTTCTCCAAGCCAATAATGGAAGCTAACGATCCAACTGTGTCGCAGGACACGTACACTTCGTTGTCGCAAAACTTACATTTATCAACTTCCTCCTGTATTTTTCGACGGGATTCTGAGTCATCTCCACCGCTTAATGACAGACCGATAGAAAATAATCGGATATCGTCGGTCTTGGAAAGGGCTTCATTCACTAGTTGTCTGATGCGTTGAATGCATTCAGGTATTCCGATTTGCTATAAAATAATGTTAAAAAGAAATTTTTTAATGAACAAAGTCATTTTGAATGGCTATTCAGAGTTCAAAAGCAGCCTAGTTTTTTGTGGGCGGTCAACCGATTAATGACAGAGAATCATAGTTCGCTTGAATTATCTATATGAATTTTAGGGGATTTAGCTTGAATGACTTTTCCATTAGCTAAAATAAGGAAGCGAAAGAAAATACCCAATGGTTAGTTCCCTTTCCAACAATTGATATCAACTCCTTACAGTTTTCGTCATAAATACCAATTTTGGTTGAAGAAGCACCTCTAAATAATAAAGAGCCAATAAGTATTGAATAAATTCTATTATTACGACTAAAATGTTTTATATCAACCCTTCAATCCCGGCAAAAAACAGCTTTCCACTCATACCTCTACTATTCACTAAATTGGTTGTTAGCAGACGACAATTGAAAAATACAAAAATTAATTGTCGAAAGATGGCGCTATACAAAAAAAGAATATGATCGTTTATTTATTTTGGCTTGAGTTGAACAAGAGTGAAAAAAGATGGCAAAAGTTATTTTATCTAATGCTATTCTATATCTTTCAATGTTGGTGTTGTTAAATCTTTAATGTCTTTGTATGTTCTGAGCGCCTATCGGCGAGAAATGAAATTTAAAACGCCTGATCAATCATTTTCGATTATATACTTCAAAAGTCCCTCAATCTAATGAAACACCCTGTTGAAAGGTAGAAGAATGCATAGTACCTTTTATTACGTTATTTTCCATCGTAAATAGTTATAGATGGCGCCTTCAATAATTCGCCAAATCAAAATTATCAAGTCCGTTAAATGTCGAGGAGTTGACTTGTTATGATTCCTTACATGCATAAATCTCATATTTCTCTAACCTTTGCAGTATATTTCTGCAGGAGATACTGACGTGCAGCAGAGGACACCTGTAGAGTTTATCCGGATCAACGAAATAGACCGTAGTTGACCTTTGACCCTCGACTCTTTTCGGTTCATCTCAATAAAAATCGTAGCGTAAAGATACCAAACGCTCTGTACAACTTGTTCTCATGCCATTCATTATCAATAATCTTATCAAATCGCCACTAATTTCATGCGTCGCTGGCGAAGACTATTATTTTGTATCGAACTAATAGGCCTACTGACCACTTACAATAAAAAACTCCAAATTCGAAGTCTTTGTATTATGTTTATAACTTTAATAAATTGCTAGTCAATACCTTATTATTCTTATAATCGGCAGGTTTTTTTTGCCGTTTTATTAGCTGTTCAATTGAGTTCAACAATAAACAATAGAATTTAAACGTAATAATGATATGAAGGTTAAGACATGAAGAAAAGGTTCCTTTGTATTAAAATTAAACAATAAAATTAACACCAACGATCGACGTTTACGGCTTAATAACTTTGGAAAATTGTTAGATAATGAAAATAAAGGGGGGGATAGAGAGCGGGGGGGAGGGAATAAAGTAAAAGAGAGAGAGAGAGAAAGAAAAACGAAGCAGGTAGGGAAGGAGGAGAAGGAGGAGAGAAGGAGGGGGAGGGGGGCGGAAGGAGAGAGAGAGAGAGAGAGAGAGAGAAAAGGGAAAAATATGGCAATAGCAAGGAATATCTTGACAGGAAATGAAGAGAAAAGAGATAAAGATGATGAGAGGAAAAAATGGATTTACGAAATAAAAGTAAAATAGGAAAACGGAAAAGAAGATGTTAGGAAAATTGCCTTAATTAAAAATGTATAAAATAGAAATACTTTCTCCATAAGGCCTATAGACCAATACTTACATACTTCTTTTTTAATAGTTTGCTCAAGTAGGTTAGTAGAAATGAGCATTAAATATCTATTCAGTTTAATACTTAATATAGGAAAAGGTATAAATATCATTTAATACACACAAAAAAAACATACCACAATAAAGTTTATATTATATACAGTAATAGTATTTTATATAGTCCAAAAAATCAAAAATCTCTCTTCTTTGCGAAGAAAATGTTTGTATAAAAGCCACGAAGCAAACTAGATCTTATTTGTTTATAAATGAATCAAATGTTTGTCTAGCGAAAAAAGCGCTCTGGAATTCATTATCGTCCATTTGTGAACGGTGTTGATTGATGCTGAAGATAGATGTGTCATCGGTGTGACTTTTATTAGCGTCGTTATTATCGCCATATTCCAATACGTACTCTATTATGAGTAATTACTCAATGGGGCGGAGGAAGGATGAATGGACAAAAACAATATGGACGCCTGGAAAAATTTTTACGAATGTTTACCGTTAGATTTTGAGGCAAAGGACGTCTGTTGGAGGTTATGGTCGCTGGAAGCGGTTAGTGACACGGAGGCCGATCTTATATGTTCAGCTGCAACGCAAGAAGAACGCCGTTTAAACCTTATTGAAACGCTTTCAGCAAAGGACAAGGGAGTTGCCGCTGATTTTCTCTTAGCCCTTAGTAGGGCAAAAATGACCTCTGTCATAGATTTAATCGCCAATCGCTATGAAAGTTTGAAGCACGTTAAGAAGGAAGGGGAGAATGAACCGAAAGGTGTCTACGAGAAACGTTATAGCCACGTTTATCCAGTTGTCATGGAAGCACTGAGGGACGTGATTCAGAAAATTAAAAACTAGTTAAATTTCAGGGTTCAACACATATAAAATATAAGTATAAATAAATATAAGGGCCTCATAAAACTAACGACGATACTGTGGTATGTCGAGCATGCGCTATGGAAAAAAAAGAACATGTCCGAAAGTCTAATAATTTTTTGCATAGTGTCTTTTTTTTAAAGAAATTATAGCCTATTGGGTCCTTTATTTGGTTGGGGTGAACATATATAAGAATAATATATAGTCTTTTAAAAGCCGTACTTAAAATAGGTTTATAAATCAACATTTTCTGAATCACAACCCTTCAAACTTATACAGATGTAGCGAGGAAGAAGCAGTCCAAATAGCATGTCGACCAGTAACCAGCAAACACTATAAACTACAACATGCCATCGCAATGGAAATTTATAAAATCTACGGTGGGAAAAAGCTGAACGATTTAGGAGTGAAGAGCGGATTACCTAATGATCAGATAGAGAAGATACTCTCCTTTCAAGCTACTTCCGATTTGATGGGTATCGTAACTGCAAGGTACGGAGAGATACTTCGCCGCTGGCTTCAACAAATTATGAAGGGATTTGCTACGTTGTCTTCTGTTATCGATTTATTAAATGAAGTTGAAGTTGATATGGCCATCATTCATGACCCAATAAGACTCTTTGCTTTCAGAAGAACATGAATTGTTCGGCTTGCGAATTTTTAGGTCTGAAAATCATAAAGGGGAAACTTTAATGTTTTTCATTTTTGTATTCATAATAAGTCTATGGCAAATAATCATAAGTAATATACGTCCTCGTATATTTTCTTACTTTCGCTATTTTCTTTTTTAAACCATAAAACAGATTGGTTTTCCCTTTTTTAAATTAGAATTAAAAATAGAGGGAAATTATCTGAAAAGATGAGAGAGTTCCGATTATTTTGTGTGGTTTTATACATTTGTAAAAGATAAACGAGTAGGACAACTTCATTTCCGTGCGGCTATAAAGAAAAGGTGATTTTAACGACGTCGAGCGTTACTCAATGAGCCATTGGAATCGTAAATCAATCGCAACGTCGTAAAGCCTGCGGGAGAAGCGGAGCGACAAAAAAGAAAAGATTGAGTATACTATAGAACTTCGCACTGATTTATTTATCTTGTAGAGGGTTGTATAAAATATTTATACGAGTTATGCGAAAGCTAAGCTGGGTTCATTTGGGCCTAACTTAATTTAAAACGGCTGTCGCACGTGCACTGGACATAGCTAGACGCCCGCCGAGTAAAAATTGCTACATTGATAAAAGACACGCGCCTATCTAAGCTTCACGCGGCGTCTAAATGGCGTTTAAAACGCGACGTTTATGGGTTTGTTCGCGCGTCACTACGTTTTGAGTGGATCACCCGCCGATCGGAGGTGCATTTACACTAGGCGACGAATCGCGTGCGTTTTTTTTCCGTATTTTACGTCTATACCATACTTCCTGCGTCAGAAATGATTACATTCCACCGAAAAAGAGCCCTCCACTATTGTTCCCTCCGTATGGAAGGAATTTGATTACTTCCAACTAAAAGTGAAACAAATTTGAAATGGGCCTAATGGGAAAAATTACTCTCGATTCTAATCGATTTTTTTCTATGCTATTAACTTCAAAAAGTCTTTTATTTAAGTTTTTTTTTTTATATTTTACATATACAACATATCTAAGATTTCCAATTTACGATTTATACGTATATACACAGACTTGTTAAAAGCTATAAATAATCTTTTTTTTGTTGGCCTAAGTTAACTTTAAAAGATATATTTCTTTTCAGAATTGACACCTTAGAATAGAAAAGTCCTAGTTAGTATTGTCAATTGAAATAACTGGACACTTAAAGATTATACACCCGATACAATAATTCGATAATTCGATGGAAGCGAGCAAATTGTACAGCTTTTATAAATGTTATCTCCATCAAAGATCGTCCTTCCACCCCAATCGGCCTGTATGCCATCTTGTATTTCTTCTGACGCGAACTAGATCTTATCAGTCGAATCGCTTGTCATTTCTTCTCTTCTCGCTTTTGCTCGACATTATCTTGTTCATCTGTCGCGTAAAACCCCCTGTTGCACCTGCGAACGAAAAAGTGCCATATTGAGCGAGAGAAAGAATGAATGAACGACAGGAGATAGGAGGAAAAGTACAAAAAAGAATTTCCTCTTCATCGCTCATTCGTTACACCTTTTCCATCTATTCCTTTTTCCTCACCTTCATTGAAAACAGAGCAGTCGTTGTCCGCTAAAGAAACTTTTTCGAAAGCTTTTACGGTCTATCTACTTCCCTCTTTTTTATCTTTACAATACATAGAACAACGGTTAACTGTTATGGTTCATTTAGGTGTATGCGTATATTTAAAAATACGCCTAAATATACAAATATAAATAGTACTTTCGATATATAAACTCTTAAGAACGTGTATGTAATATACATTGTATATTTGTAAGCGTGAACATACTTGAAAGTTTATTTAATTCGTTAATCTCTTAATACGTAATAGCTCTGGGCAAAAGTTGATTTTCAAAGCACTATTGCAGTTCGTATCATATTTATTTTTTCTATCCTATATCAGAGTATATGTAAACTTAAATAGAAGCTAAACGATTCATCTTCAATCGCATTCTTACATATTTGAAAAATATAGATGCGGGTATGGTTTAAAAAAGTGGAATTTTCTGACTACATACCGACGCCGTATGACAATCAAAAAGATAGACGACGTCCCGACATATGGAGCGGCGTACGAAATTGATTAGAACGTATCCAATTAAGAGGATAGGGATGTAGATAAGGGAAATGATAAATAGAACTTTGGCTATTCGTCTCTGGAAGAATAACATAGATGTCCAATGGGGGTATCTAGGAAAAAAGAGATGAGGGTGTTAGAAAACCAAGGTTAGAAGGTAACCACACCCTTTCAACTGTCCCTGCCAGCAGGTTTCTCACAATATTTGCTCATTCACTCCTTCTTCTTAGTCTGGCGGGAGGGGCGGCCACTCGTCTCTTTCTTCTCTTTCCGGAACGAGTGGCACGGCGATTTGAATAACCTCTTTAATTCGTGACCTCTCTTCATACTTTTTTTTCACTAGACTGTCACCTCTCCTCCCCTTTCCATCCCGTCTGGTTTGGCTGGTCAAGGAGTGTGTTTCTTAATTCAGAGAGGATAGAAACTAGAGGCTTCCTCTATCATCCAAGATCATAATGAATAGGAAATAAAAGAAGGGGGAGGAACTATAATTTCTCGCTCTTCTCTTCGATTTCATTCTGCCTTCTTCCCTCCTCGGTCTGTACCCTATGTGACAGGCCGGGCGGTGATTAGCGGGCGTATCGGAGCGAAAAATAACAAACGGGGAGCTACATTGGCGAGTTGAATGCCGACTCCGCATTCAAGCTGCGAAACACCAAAGTCGTAGCCCATTACGTGCCGGTTCAGAGAGCCGTTTTAATGAAGACGACCACGTGCGCCCTGCTCGCCGACGCGTTAAACTCACCTGTATTATACACTTACATATATATATATATTCAAAATGTCACGTGACTTCTCATAACCGTACTCCCTTTCCTTCAAAACATTTTTGACACTCATTCATAGATACAAAACTCTAAATTGATATTTATTTTAAGGCGAGTAAAAAAGAAAAGAAAGATATATATGAGGCTTAAGAATGTGAAGATACTAAGTGATATATGTGGGCTGGCGGCTTTTAAAAGTACATTTCGATTAAGATGTCGTTAAGACAGCGTTTATCTATTCCGCTCATACCCTCTTTGCCTCCTCAATTCCCGCTTTCTTCACCACCCATCGAGTATTAATCTTCGACATTTCATCAAAAACAGTAAAGTTGAAAACCTTTCTCGACGTGCTTTTAACGCGTCCAAGAAAGAACCATAGTCAACTTGACGTACTTTCCCCGGGGAACGAAATGGTCCGATAATGAATCTTTAAGCATTCTCAAAAGCGTATAATAATAAAACGTTATCCATGAATCCATCGATGACCGCTGATTAGCGCATTTTACTCCAGATAAACTTTCCCTTTGCTGTTGATTTCACTTCTGCCCTTTACAGACGTAAAAAAAATTATTTTTTCTTCTCTAATCACAAAAGGATTTAGATTTATTGTGTATAATACTAATATAACTCGGAAGGACACCCTTGATAGATTGATTTTATTCCTTACATTTGAAAGAACCCTACCCTACCCTTTTTGTATCATTCTACAGGTATAGAAAAAAGTTTAAACACTATAATGCTTTCCGTTTATTATCAAATATATTTCGATTTTACATCATCCTACTTGTTAATTATTAGAACAATGGTATGTTTTACCAGCTATAAATAACTATTGAGAATTCATAAAATTTAATAAAGGTAATAGAACAATAGAATTCTTTTAATTAGAGATATTCTTCTACGTTTAGCAAGTTCTGAGGAGTGTGCACAGCATATAGTCCCCAAGGAATGAATACACCTGGCCTCATAAGAAAATAAGAAAGCATTATACCAATGATCTAATAATAAGAGTTTAGCATTATAAAACCATTTTATCCTTACCGGCTCGCGGTTTATAGGTCTAATACAGCTTTGGGCCGAATTAGTAACTTTCATATTCGACGCCTTATGTTCTGGCATGCGGAATGACCCAAACAACTTAACCTTCTTCAATCGTCGCTTATTTTTTTGTTAAAAAAAAATACCCTCCTCTTGCCCGCGACATTTACTTTATAGGCCTATTTATCTCCTCTTGCTCTATCAAACCGTTCGATCTCGTCATTCGACAAATTCCTTAGCACCTTTACGCATTGAAATTACTCTCGCTTATCTCGATGAGAATCTGAACGCCTAAAATATTTCATTTTCAACTTACAACTCTGCTAATCACTTGTTTGTTCGCCTTGTGGATTTTAGAAGCGATTCTTATCAATGCTAATCCGTCTAAGCCGAGAAAATCTTTACTCAGGCTACGTTTTGCAGTTTTCGTAAAGTAGAATGTGTATTTCTCAGTAGGGTGTCTCCTACTTGACCTGCTTCTGCTAGTGGCAGCTCGCTAAATGCCTTACCTTTTAGCCTATAAGAACTGATAGACTTATATATTTCAAAACAAATTTTTTCACTGTATTCAAAAAGACACATAAATAATAAATATACACTTTATACATATACAATTAACATGTAATATATAGCAAAAGATTTACCCCTGCACAAGGGACGTTCTGAAATAACAAACAAAAAAATGACTATTCGCGTACCCCTAGATCCGCTCTTAATTAGTGCTTGGCAGTAGTTTTCAAAAGGCGCCGCCTTTTATAATGCAGAACAAAAACATTAGTATTGAGCTACGGCGTGGTGCAAAGGAATATGCCCTAATGGCGGGCATAAAGGCGTTGGGTCGTTGGAGGGGACGCCCATGACGCTTTGACAAGTGTACCATTCACTCAAATTTGGTTGTTGTGTTAGGCTAGGATGATGATTGTTCTGCTGAGGAGGAGGGGGAGGGGGCTGAGGCTGTTGCGGTGGTGGTGGTGGAGATTGCAGTTGTGAATTGTTGTTACCAGAACTAGATGTCTCATGACTTTCAGGGGTCTCACCGCCATCGTGAGAATCAAAACTGTTATCCATCTCCAATTGGTCATCGCCTTTGCAGTGAATCTTCATATGCTTTCTTAGAGAGCTTGGATGAGTGTACGACTTATCGCAACCGCGAATTTTACAAAGGTATGGCTTATCCGATGTATGTACGTGAGAATGCTTCTTACGATCAGAGCTATTGGCAAATCGTCTATCGCATCCTTCAAATTCGCACTTGAACGGCTTCTCTCCTATAAGATAAAAGAAAAAGAAAACACATTATTTCACGCATCTTCCCACACATATAACATTCCAAAACACGCCTAGGCACTTGACCAGGAACACGGATGTCAGGGGCGAATCACGATGGGGTATTAAAAAAAAATCACCAAATAACCTTTCCCCTCAGAGTATAGTCTATTATTTAAGAAATTCCTCGAAATTTTCCTTATTTTTAGTGTTTTTAAATTGAATAGTTACAGACGGTCAGTCCACGATCAACTCTTTTAAAGGGATTAATGAGAATATTTTTTTAATTATATACCAAACGAGTCTATAGGCTTCTATACAAGAGCTATTTATAAAACCAAATGTGCGGTCAATTATTAAGTCCTATATCCCTTAAATTATACAAATTACCAACTTTAGTCAATAGCCGATTTTTTACTTAAAAGATTACGTCAGTGGTAAATTCCACCAAAATAGTCGTGCAGTCCTATCTCTGCGGGACGCCAAACAAATAGTATATAGTGTAACCATGGAAATTTGTTGCGTGACGCCGCCTTTTTATCTGCCTAGACGCCGCAAGTGACGCCTCACTACAGGTGGGCGTTACCAAGTCCACTTTATTATGTACTGCGTGCAAAACAGACGTAGTCACAGGAATGAGGTCAATAAAAGTGTCAGAAAGTCAACAAATAACGAGCAACTACGGAATTATAGAATTTCTCTACATTCTATGACGTCATAAAGCGTAAGTGGGCGGGCTATGACATCATTAGAAGTATTGGAGGGGGAGGATGAGAATGGAACCAAGCTAAAAAAGAATTGTGGGAACGTACTGATTGACCCCCGCTTTCCTAACCTCCTTTTATTAATTTATAATAATTGGAGCGCCTAAATAAATAATCTTTCAACCTTATATATATCGTTTTGAACAGTCAATAAATATTTAACTTTTTATAGAAATCTCTTAAAACACTACATAATAAAGAGAGAGAGAGAGAGGGAAAAACTGAGAATTTATCGCAATAAAAAAAATACGATTGCCTCTCTAACTCAAACCTTAAATTCCTTTTTTTTCTCTCTCTCTCTCTCTCCTTTCTCAAATCGACAATAAAGACGTTTGCTATAACAAAAGAAACTCCCCGAACACGTTAGGCAGATGTTTCTGCTAAATGAGTTGACTTTGAAGTGATTCCTTTTTATATTCGGCGAATTTTTTCAAATGACAACCTTTTCAGCACCGCCTCCCGCGGAGTTAATTAACGTCGGTTTCGAGTTAGAAATTCTTGTAGGCTGCTTTACGTAACAAGTCTGACGCCTTCCTAAAATTTCAGTAGTTCTAAATTTAGGTGATACCTTAAGGGCAAAACAATTCCTTATTTGAGGCCAAATTAGCTAAGACTGAGGTAGCTTCTATTAACAATTCTTTAACAGATATAATTAAGACTGTTGCAAACAGTTTAAAAAAGCGCGTGCCTGCTAGCGGGGGCCACCAACGGAGACAAACTGCAGCTTAATGCGTGTCAAAATTTTTCGCACATGCATGCACTGTCCGTGACCTTATATGAGTAAAAATATTGTTTGTAAATTAATCATCTTAAGACTCTTTGTTCCGAACTTTATTCTCTTTAAGGACTTGTTATTTTCTTTTTATCGACCTCCCTCCTTTCTCTTTTACTCTTTTAAAAAAGAAGCAAACCTATCTGAACCGTACAGCCTATTTCCTGTTTAGAGCTGTAAACCAGATGAGCAAACTGTCGATGTTTGTCCAACTCTCACTCTAATTGGGGCGCGTACTTTTTGAAGAGTTTGCAACAGGTGGCAAACCTTACGGAATACGAGGAGATTCTTCTCACTTGTTTTAAAGAAAAGAAGGCATAGGAACGTTTAAAGTATCTAAGCCGATTGCGGGGTTTAACCTCAATCCTTCCTGCTCTGCAGGGGGTCTGCTAAGGGTGCTTATTCAAGCTGAGTCGTTTTGTTAGAACCCCAGGCACTGGCCTACTTTAATACAAATACACACAACACACACCTGATACACGCATATATACATGTATGTACATATATAAATATAAATAAAGGAGAGGGAGAGAAAGCAGTAACTACAACCGCGACTCATAAAACCGTCAACATTGAGAATTCCCCGTTTTAATACACCTTTGTGAACGGCACGCGCAAAAATGAAATGTTTTCTTTTTTATTTTCCATATAGAGTTTTTTTTTCCCCTTCTCCTATAGTTCTTGCACGCGGCTGCAGTGGCGAGAAATACTCGCATTCCACTACGTGTGAAGCTAGTATTGTTAGAGGCGAAACGAGGTCGTTGCTTTTTCAATGGAGATTTCAATGACGGAACGCCTACTTTGGTATATATTCAACTATAAATTTCCTTCTCTTTCCCTTTTTATTGAGTTATTATCAATTCTAATTTTTTTACAGAGCTATTTAGTGCTAGTTTTCAAACTTATTTCAATTCCTATTGGAAAGTATACAAAACACGCGCGAAAAAGTACGTCAATATAGTTGGAGTGTAATTCGTATTAATTAAACTCGGGCAGGAACGTAATCAAAAGGGAAAGTGACCGTAACGGAAATGAGGCCATAACGTTCTGAATGAAGCGTATATTTAGCCCGAAAGGCTAAGTATGTTTCGAATGTAATTTCTCATTTATACTATTTTTTTTCCTATAATAAATATGTATATATATAAATAAAGATACAGGTGCATTTACCAGTAATTCTCCTTTTAGACAAACGTAAACATTCTACTGTCTTACTTTTTCCATTTGAACTAATTATACAACTCACAATTCTTGCCTTCTATTTTTATACATTAATAACTAAATATAAACGTGTGTTTTTATCGGTAGGATTTTAATTAAGAGATGGGATGGAATCTAAGCATATGGGGTGAGCCGAAAATTAATGTAATCCAGAAACGGTCCAGGGCGACCATTTGTCGAAAGTGACAGCTCACGTCCAACCCTCTAGTGCACCTTATCTCGGCCGCTGGTCATCATAAAGCACGATTTTCGACAGGTTGACACGAGATTCGGGTGCCGTACGGGTTCGTAAAGTTTTAAGCCGTTAAGATAAGCGATTTTTTTTTCGCGCCCTACTGCCTACCATCTGTATATATATATATAATGTAGAAAGGCTTTCACGTCAGCTCTGCGGGGCTACTACGTTTACTATGTGCTCCCGTGCATTACATAGACTATAAGTCTGGTATGTCTATATGAAACATAGACTTTCTTAAAAACATCATTTTTTAATAAAGTCATCTATATTAAGCATTCACTCTTATATTTACAGGCATTTTTCTTATAAATAGGATTTAAATATGTATAGCTAAGTATTTATAGAAGAAATCTGCGCACAACCGTAATAAAACGAACACTTTTTATTTGGCTCGAGCAACTCCTACTTATAAAGGCAACCATTGTTTGCTTTTTTATTGCGAATTTCAAACGACGCCCTCCGCTAGCCATTATTTACCTATATATCTTCTGTATAAAATAGGCCGAACCCTTCTTTATAGAGGACATACTGTTTTGCAAACAACTGTCAACAACTACAAACAACCGACATACCTCTCCTATCGAGGCTGTCAATCGGACGGAGCTGACAAACAAAACATTTAAAAGAAGAAAAAAAAAGTAGGCCGAATAAAGTTTGGCGGTAGAAGATTATCTGCCGAGTAATCCAATCCGGAAGCGTGTTTGTCTTGGCCGACGAGGCGCGGGAAGGCGAGTTTTTCAGCTTTGTTTGTCGTTACCACAGATTTTTGTTTTTACACGTTTTGCGTAATATACAAAGCGTGGAAATATCTTATCCACTCTACATTTAAGTTGAACTTGAAAAATACGTAATATACAGTTTATATATACTGTATATATATATATATATATAAATATATATTTATGTACGTCTATATAAAGAATATATAGAAGGGTTCGGCAGTTCGTTTTATTAACCTAATTTACATAATTTATACGAAAGAAACAGTTTTAATAATATTTTGTTATGGATTGTTAGAATTTCCAATTCTAAATTGTAGTTTATGAAAATATTTCTTATATATTCTATTTAAGTTGAGTTTACACTTTATGTACGTTTTTCATAATAGGTATATTTTCCTGCTATTGATTTTTTACAACACGCAAAAACTGTATGTAAACGATTTTGAGCTCTTGACGCCTTTCTGTATAATTACATCGTTGTATACGAAATAGACGCCGTTTTTCGACGCAATAACGAGGTTGTTACGTAAGTTTACGAGACTATATCTTGGTCATGAATCGCAATTAGTAGATAAGCAGATATAAGCGCCTCGTTATATAGAGTACCTAGGCCTACAAGTGAATTTTTTTAAAGAAGTATTACGATATACTAACTGTATACGCAGTTATATATTTTTAGAATAGGCACAATAGTCTATAAGCCTTTGGTAGCGTGTATAATTCGGTTTAAGTAATTATCTGCTGAGGATAAACACTATATATGTCATGTGTATATCTTTGCGCTTAATAACGTTCTTTTCACGAGTGCGAGAATAATGCAGCCTACTTACGAAGTCGTTCGACTGTGTAAATCGGTACACAACTTTTTCATACTCTTCAGATATTTTTCTTATTTGAAATCATTGGGATGAGTTCCCCTATGACCGTTTACTATATTAGACGTCTTAAAGATAGGTTAAATTCTATACTACCACCATTCATATTCTTATAATACACTATAGCCGGTAAACTGAAATACACTTTACTAACTGCATATATTAAATTTAACTTTAGAACATAAAACATATAAGACGCCGTGTCAAACTGTCAACGCTAAAAAAATCGAATCGGTCGTACGAATATCGTATAGCGAATTTAATGCTTAAGGAGAAAGGAGCGTCGATTTGAGACGCGTAAAACGTCCGTAAACCGAATTACTCGACTGTCAAACTTTTGGAAACTATATACAAATAAATTGTGGCGATTTTAACGCGAAGCGTAAGGGTCAACCCGCACCTTGAAATAAAGTTGTGAATGAAGAGTCGTTGAGCCGAGGCGCTATATTGGAATGCCTTTAAAATTATAAAAATTCCTAACCGTTTCATAAAAAAACACTATGAACAGTAAAAGTTGGTGTTTGGTAAAGAATAGGGAACAATTTTCTCGTTGTTGATTAAATAGCGTATAATGTACATTAGTTATGAATATATAAAATATTGACGTTCGATTAAGCTAAGTCGATTGTGCTGTTCTCACTCTGTGAACGCAATTATATATCGGCTTTGGGCAAAATAGGAAAAGTATGTATAATTACTCCTACTTCTACTATTGATCGGCATTCTTTGACTTGTTTACTATTTTTGAATCGAGTCAAGCGTCTAAGCATCGCAATTAATGAACAAATTCAACTCACCTGTATGCGTTCTCTTATGTATTTTTAGATTCTCAGAGCGGGCAAACACTTTTCCGCAGCCCGGAAAAGGGCATGGAAACGGCTTCTCACCAGTATGAACTCGAATATGGTTTACCAACTTATATTTGGCTTTGAAGGCTCTTCCCTCTCTTGGGCAGTTTTGCCAAAAGCAAGCATGATTTGTTTGCTCTGGTCCTCCAACATGCTCCATAGTAATATGACTAACTATCTCGTGCATTGTTCCAAATGTTTTATTACAAGGCTTTTTCGAATCTCCTTCAGGGTCAATCCAAAGGCATGTATGTTCCTGCTTCATAGCTGGACCGCCTCTCATATAACGGAAAAAGTTTGGCTGGACATGGGGATTCATGTGATGTTGCATCATTGGGTACCCAGAGTGTCCAAATTGATCACGAGAATATACTACATCTCCATGTAAAGCTGGTAGCCTCGGCGTTGAGTCTAGCGAGGGCAGTAAGTGATGATGCGACGTTAGGCCCTCCATGTGCGAATGTGGTGGGAACATGGACGAATGCTGTAGAAAATCCCTAGTCATGCCAGGATGAGACATATAGGTTCCTGCCTGCGAAAAGCTTCCGTTTTGAGCTGGATCGGCATGAGGAGGAGATAGCTTCAGTGAAGATAAATGGGGCGCTGTTGCTGCAGCGGATTCGACGAAAGGGTTAAGCATGCCTGCAGAGTTCTCTCAGTATGTATCACCGTCAAACACAATTCTTGTTCTGGCAATCTCTTCCACACTTCACTTCTCAATGCTGACAGTAAGCGGTCCCTCTAGCTGTGGGTTAATAGACTCCGCCTATTAACTGCGCGGCAACGCTGATTGGTTGAAAGGCGGAGCGTTTAGCCTGTCAGCGTTAAGGATAGAGCGAGTATATTTTTTCTCAAACTTCTTTGAGAAACTTGCTTAATTAAAGAGAGAATTGTCTTTTTTTTGACCCTCTTCACCCGAATGGGCACTTTACCCTCAATGTCTTTTTTTTTTATAAGATCTAAGCGCTATTAATTTTTACAAATAAGCCAACTGAAAATTCCCCTTAATATTTTCATTATATGTTACAAGATATTTTTAGCGCATTTGAAGAGGAAAAAGTTTCGTGCCGCCTTATTTTCCGCCTGTAAACCAGAAACTGGCTTAATTAAAGATGCAATTGTTTTCCGAACGAACCCCGTGACGTCCCTGGTTTCACTGTCTGTCATTTACTAGCAAACTAATTGATGTCATTGTTCTACCACCGAGAACTCTCTAATCTTTGTACTTGTTGTTCTTGAAAATTACAATTAATTAAGCTTTACAAGTTTAAAACAGAATGTTTCGCGGCGAAATTAGCCGGCCTCCCCCGGTTCGGCTTTAGCCCTATAAAATTCCTCTCTCTATATATATTCCGCCATACAGAAAACTTTGATTATACGTCTCGAAGATCTTAATGATTCGGAAGCCCCCCGAAAAAATTACAGGCTTCTTCAATAACCTTTTTACGCGAGTTGGCAAGCATTCGAAACGTTCAGGCATTAATAACTGAAGCATGATGTCTCATCTCGAGGGATTTGCTGGAGGAAGGCGTATATCTTTTGGCTTTTCCGCCTATTTGACATTTTCGATGTGATTAATAGTTAAAATGTATTTACAACTATAAATATAATCGTCATCCAGATATCCGCACTAGAACTCTTAAGGGAATTATGTTCTGGGAGGGATAGGAATCGTTGAGTAGGCCTACGGTGTCGAATGAATTTAAAACGGCGGACATCTGGCCTCGGAAACGAATTTCAGATAAGCTCGATAAAAGGATAAGAAATTGGCTAAGATAGAATGGAAAGTGAAAGTTATCGATTGGTCATCTGATCCGCACTCGTCGGTTGAAATGAGTATATCCGCTCGTTGGAAAATGATGAGATAAGATTGAAGAACACGTGTCCTCCTCGTATGTGTCCTTCTCCTTTTCCGCCGTTATTTAAACCTACAAACAATACACTAACTGATTTTCCGATTATCCAATAAATCAGGGTACATTTTTCCATCACTACTCCTTAATTTCTCGATCGATAAGAATTTGATAATTATATCTATTAACTTTATCTTCAGGTTAAAACTATTTCCATCAGTATTTAAGGAAAGTTTAAGAATATTTGAAAAAAGAAATATTTACATAAAAAACACAAAACTCATTTGGAAAAAGGCGTTGACATTGACGTTTCCTTCAAACTTTGGATGCAATTAATAACCGTTTTCCCTTACATTTCTCACTCTTTCGTGCTAAATAACCGCCATTCGGTAATTATAATTTACACCTTGCTTTAATTTTACGCCGTTTATCGTCTAATCGAACCAAAATGTTTTTACGTTCTTAATAAACACAAACACAGCTGTCCAATATTAATTTGTACTATAAGACTTCGTAGAAAGAACGGAAGAAAAGCAAACAAAAAATGGGCGTCGAACTGTCATTAAGTGTTCGCGTCCAGCAGCGACGCGGACCATTAAAGGAAATCTCAAAATAAGCTCAACGAGAAAACAAAATATATGTCGCAGTAGGACTATATACACATCAAGTGTATGAAAAATAGATGACTTCGGACAGAGTGGTTTAATATAGAGAACTAATAGGATCATATAAAGATAAAAACTTTTCAAGTGTTGTCCCTCTTAAAAATTTCGGATGACTGTTACTTCTATAAATAGTGGGCGATGTAAAATGTTGCGGATAATATGCCTCTAGCAGTGCTCACGCCTAATTAACCATCATAAGAAGCCCTTCAAGCGCGATGGCACACAATTATGCATTGAAATCTCCGCTCTTTCTATATATTCACAATGAAACCGAGTTGGTGAATACAGATAGGATAGAAACTTATAATATTTACTTTTGTGTAAAATCGATTGTTTCGAGTATACGACAGGGGGCGCTTTGTATAACGGCCTAAAGCCGTTTAATTGAGTTTCAAGTGGGTATATACCCCTATATATACAATAAATATATATAAGATATGTCTTAAATATTATATAAATATACAATATGCATAATATAAAAGAGTAAAGATATTATTATATTTAAAGAAACTCTTGTGGTCCATTTATATTTAATGGTTTAAATATATATCAACGAATTTTTTCATTCATAGAAAGTGATGTCGTAATAGGAAACTGAACGTGATAGATGGTTTAATATTTCCGCTTATGTAACAGCTCATAAAAATAGAAAAAACCCTCTTTTCCTTATTATTCCTTAATACATAATATTAAAAAGATCCCTCTCCCCCCTACCTTCCTCTCTCTCTCTCTCTCTGTCTCTGCCTGTCCTTTCCTCATTTAATTGTATTTTTTTTCTCTTTATTCCAAAGTCTTTGTTTAGGAAAATTGTTTTTTTTTTCATTTCACATCCAGAAATATTAAAAAACATATGGCCAGAAGCAAACTTAATTAGATAACAGTACATAATAGATGTAAACTATTTGACTAGCTTATTTGTCAAATTAAATCTAGTTAAACACGTAAACAATAGGAGGCGGTTGGTCGTCTAATCGATTACCTAATTTGTATACATAAACGCGATATATCAGCGTTCTCTGCAAGTTTCTATTAAAGTGGGTAATATGGAAATATCAATTGTCTATTAAACATTCCCTATCAAAGTGAGTAATCGGCGTGGAGTGAGGGAAAAAGCAAAACATATTTACACAACGTAATTACGCGCACGTGTTCATTAAAACGTATGTAATTCAAACATATAGCCGAGAGGAGAACTAGTTTTATATAAAATTGTAATACACAATGTCGCCTGCGGTTATCACTTGACCAAAAATTTTCACGTGATTCAATCGCTTACAAATGTACAGGTATTGAGGGAAAAAAGACTAATGATGAACACCTGTATGGGTCACGTGACTAGATGGAATCACGTGCAGATCAAATTTCTTTCCGACCACTAAAAGTTACACAAACTGCGTATTATATTGAAATGAGGATCACGCACGAAAGCCGAAAATTAAACAATTTATAAACTGTATTGTAATATATTTACTGTTTATTTTGATCAGGTCTGCTATTCAGGAAATCCTCGGGGAACGTGTAACTTTTCAGGGATTATTATTGTATTAATATATAAAGATATATCGATATATGCTAGATTTGTATTTTGTTAAAATAATTGTGCATTCAGCAGATTTAGATGTGAGGAAAATATAGAAAGAAAAGGAGAAATTGAGAAGGATAGAGAGAAAATGGGGGCGGCAACTTTTACGATATTGTATTCGTATCCGCTCGACCGATTTTTAACGTTGCAGCTGTTCTACGCTTTCTAAATCTCACGTTGTTATGTGCACATTAGATTGAAAATTGAACACATTAGTCGTAAACGTAACGTTGCGCCCGCCGGCACAACGGCCCTTGTTAAAGGCGATTTCCTTATCAAGATAAAATCATAGATAGACGATGCATAATAGAGCTCAAGGTGCGAAATAGTACCGCTCTGTCGGAATTGATTTGATTTATTGCGTTGCGCAGTTGATCGATTCGCTATACGATCAACTAATGGAGATTTTAATGTTTACAATATATCTATTTTTCTCCTTTTCCTTCTACAAGAGTAAATTTCCTTTCTTGTCAAACTTTTCAAATTTTCCCTCCATTTAAAAGTACGTGATCAATTTTCCATTGAGTGATGAGGATGCTTTATTTAATAGAGTAAGGTCTGATACTTGCTGAAAATGACCACACAACAAGAAGGACGAACATTGGGAAACAGCCTGTGGCCGTTCAACCGAGCTTGAACGACTCGCTGCGTTAATTGACCTACTTCGACGCCAACCATAGAGACTTCATTCACAAACGGCTCGTTCGCTAGATTGAGAAGGGAAGGTGACTGGGACCTCCGACCGATGCCGAACGCTTAGAAAAGGGCAGGGCATGCGAGTTAGCCCTGTTGGAATTGCGTCAGTGGGCGGTTAAGGCGGTCTAGGTGGGTGGAGGTGTTAGATCGGTTGGGCGGGGAAGAAGAACTTTCCAAGCTATAGTTATTGACTGTAAATATTGCGACATCTAGCGGTCTTGCTATTCTCAGCTTATTAGCTACTCTACACGCTGGACAAAAATACATTATCAAGAGAAGAAAAGAACTACTAGGCCAAAAACACATATCCAGTTTCACTCAAATTAAATTTGTTCTGGCTATCTATACCTAAAGATAGTGTTTATTCTAGAATATCTTTATTTATACATATGTGCATACGAAAAGCACTCTCGAAGCTGTATGACGCTGTCATAACAAATGGACGCTTCGTGTAAAGCATTTAGACGCTTTACGTGACGCCTGCTTATATAGGGATTCCTCGTTTTGGGATTCAAGCAAAAAAAAGCCTTGAAAAAGAAAGGGTCTGAGATAAGATCAACTGTTTATAAAGCCTAATAAGGGATATAAAGTTTTTTTTTAAATCTTATCTGATCAAATTTGTATGGAGAGAAGCTAGGAAAGAAGTGGAACGTGCGCTCTCTCTTCGTGACGTCATTATCTGATAACGGAACTCGCGAAAATGATTCGGTCGCAGAGCCGCGTGCGCTGAGAGAGAGCGTTAATTAGCGAAGGAAATTCGCCTACCTTTGATTGCCCACTTCAAAGAGAATTACCGCAATTTCACACTACCGTGCGGAAGTCGAGCAGTAATGAAAGGGACAAACAATCACCAGGTACCATAATGTACTAATCAATGCTTTATTTATAGTCGTTAGTCCTAAGTTTACTTCATATTCCAGTTTGT